TTATCATTTTCAAGTAGTGAAAATTATACTTAACTTTCTGAAACTTTAAATTTAAATTATACAGGAAATTAAACAGTTCGCATATCAAATGATTAAAATTAAATTATAGAAGTTGGTTACAATATATCTTTAATGTGTGTAGATAAATCAAAACCATTAGTAACTAAAGTATTAACTATTTCTCCAAGATTTATCATTGTTAATTAAACTCAAAACACTATTCATGTATTATAAGAATCAAATACTTAATATTTGGAAATCAAATCTATGGATAGAAAACCTTTAGTTTGGTATTCATTACGTTATTAATATATTTCTATTTATTATTAAGATGAATTTATTGAATGGTAACCTACTAATCCAATTGATCCAAATGGTAATGGATTCTAATGTTTTACTATAAGAGCTGCAAATAATTTATCAACTATTAAACACTTTAATTGTATTACAAAAAGAGATAATTAAATAATATATTTAATTATTTTAGAATGTAAATCAATAGTTACATAAAATTCATTATATGATTAATCATAAAGAAATTCTATTATTTAATAATAATAATCATAAATTTCTAATATCAATTAAGTGGATCCTCCTTATGTAATTGTTAATAATTTAGAATTAGTGACATTAATTTGTTATTAATATTGTTGTTCAGATGAAAAATATAGTCATCGTTATTAATTCAATGAATACAAATTGTATATAAATAATAACTAATAATGTGCATTTTCATGGGAATATCCATGTGAAAGAAGAGATTTAGTGATATAACTTTAATTTGAAGGAGAATTAAGTACACATTATAGAGTAAACCCTATTTTTATTAATCTTGAAGAAGCAGAAGCTGTTTAAGAGTATGTCATTTCAAGCGTATTAAATGAATCAGAATAATATAAATTTTATATTATTTCACTTTGGGAAGGTGCTAGTAGAAAATTAAAGTTCTAATAAGAAGTGCAAAATTAATAAAATTAACATGATACAAATATTCTTAAATTAGATATTAATTTAAATTAGGTAGGTATTTCTTTGATAGATTAATTTTATAAAAAAAGAGTTGAATTAATTTATGTATACTTTAAAGGACTTGAATTTAATTTATTATAAACAACATAAAGTAGGAAATCTGAATTCAAAGTAAAATACATTAATATTGATAATAATACTTCCAGTAAAACTATGTTCCCTGTTATTTTTACTCCTACTAAATATAAGGAAATCTTTGAATTTAATAGATCTCATTTGTCACTCATACTTGAATAATCTACTTAAGTTAAATCTATTTCATTAATTAAAAATATTAGAGCCTGTCTTTAACCTACAACAATTAGATTAACTTCTGAAATGTTAGAACAACTTTATTCTGTTTATAAATAGATTACATTATCATTCATATCCAATATGAGAGTAGATGATTAATTAAAATAGTTTGATTTTGAATATGCAATCAGTTAAGATGAATAGTAGAATTTACAATAAACAAATAGTTTAACATTATCTAATAAAGTCTAAAATAAATATGGAGTTGGATCTTATGGAATATAAAATAAAATAGAATGGTAGGAATTAAAGATTGAATTGAATGATTAAAAAGCAACATATATCAACAAAATTGAAATATATCCTCTCAATTTTAATTTGACATTTTATAGTAGTGCAAAGACAAATTTACAATATAATATGTTAATGTAGATATTAAAGACTATAGGAATTGTTATAGGAAATATTGATGAAGCTCCTTTAATATTAGCAGGTATATTTTTAGAAAATTCATTTGATACATCTAATGCTATTCTTACTAAATTGTCTACTCATTATAAAGATATGCTTTTTAATCTAATTTTAAAATTGATAGGTTCTATTGAAATCTTTGGTAATCCAGTTGGATTAGTAAAACACTTTGCAAAAGGAATTTATGATCTATTTGACAAACCAATTGAAGGGTTTATTAAGGGACCAATAGAAGGTGGAATAGGTATAGCAAAAGGAGCAGGAAGTTTCTTATAGAATACAATAAGTGGAATATCTAATTCAACAAGTAAAATAGCTGGAAGTATAAGTGGTGGTTTGGCATATATTAGTTTGGATAAATAATATAAATAAGAGAGAGAATAATTTAGAGTTGTAAAACCTAATTAATTAATATCTGGAATCTATTTAGGAGGAAAATTATTATATGTATCTGTGACTAGAGCTGTTGTAGGAGTGTTTGATTTACCAGTTAATTAAGCAAAGAGAAAAGGAATGAAAGGATTAACTATTGGAGTACTTGAAGGTACAGCTGGGTTCTTTATTAAGCCATTTGCTGGAGTATTTGATTTTGTAAGTAAAACAACTGATGGAATTAAAGCAACTGCTCAATATTGGGATGATAAGGCAAATGATAAGAGAACTAGAGAAATTAGGGTAATTTATTAATAAGAATAATTATATAAAAATTATAATGCTAAAGATGCCAAAATTATGTAATTTTTAATTAGTATGAATAATAAATTGGAAGATTATTATTATTATGATAGTTTTGAATATGAATCTGGAGGTACAGAATTAGTTTTTGTTTTAATGTATTAATAATTCTTCAATTGTGACAGAAAGAAAAAATGTATCATATGGCAGATTGATCCAAACAGTGTTTAAGATATTTAAATGATCGATGATGGTGTTTTGTTTTTGTTAAAAGAATACAATGAAAAGTATAAAGTATTATATTCCTACTTATTCAATAGGCTAAACAAGTGCAATTACATATGACATAGTAGAGACAAATGGAATAAGTGATATTAAAATCTTAATGGCTCTTGAGTAATATTTGATATTAATTATTTTAACTCACTTTTCATGGCAAATCTATAATCTTTGAGCAATGCTTTCAAAAAGTTTAATGTCTACACTAGACCTGTGAGTTTATTACTTTTGAAAGAATAAGGACATAGAACATATTTAGGAGTCTTTCTGACAACTGTCCTTGTAAGTCTAGTAATTTTGGTTTATTACAGTGGACTTGTTTCCCTTATTGTCAGAAATAACCCTAGTGTTATCACTTATACTCAATACTAAGAGCATTAAAATGCGTTTTATTTGACACCTTAAAATTTCAGCATCGCCATAGCTTAAAAAGGATATGATCTCTTGGATTCTTATATTCTAGAGGGAGCATTAGGAGGTGTAGATAGGTATAAACATTAATAATTATTTATAGTACAAATTTACAGGAAATCCCATTAACAAAATGCATCGACTTCTAATTTAGCGACCCTTCTTTGAATGCTTATTTCGATAAGTCAGATCAAATCTGGTACTGTATAGATTGGAGTTCTATTGGTTAAATTGCCATCGAAGGTGGTTTAGAATCCTCTAAAGACAAATCATTATAAATCATAGTTAAATAATGCACTTCAATGTATATAATTAAATTAATCCTAGTACTTAATGTACATATCCAAATATATTAGATAGTGATTAATTCATATTTAAAATGACATCAGCCAATACAGACATATCTAATTTCAAAACACCTACATACCTCATTGGAAAAACATTCAGTCTTACATCTCTGACAAACTTTGCCAAAAAATTGAATATCATTCTCTAACCATAATAAACGCAAACTGATAATGGATACATCATTCAAGATTAATATCAAGAAACCATTCTTTCCATATCTAATTATTTTGAAACTATACTAGATAAAGATGATGATAAACATATCTTTGAAATAAATATATCACTTGATCAAAAAACTTTGATTACTTAAAGATCCTATCCAAGAGTCTATTAATTCTTAGGAGATATAGGAGGTTTCTGGGAAATCATATTTCTATGTTCTTTATTGTTTATTATGCCTTTCAATAATCTATCATACAGAGTATCTTTATTAAATGAATTATTTAATTTTGAATTAGATTATGACAATAAAATACATCCTGAACATAGAGGTAGTTCAAAAGTTAAAGAAATATTAAATAAATCTGTTCAACTTGAAAAATTCAATAGAATGTCAAAAGTTGCAGAACATGATGAATAATAAAAATCTAAATTATTAGATTAAATTTCTAATGATATTACTTAATTTTTCTAAGAATAAGAAAATAAATTAGATTTACAATTATTTGATTATTTTGGATGTTGTTAATGTAAAAAAGGTGGTAAAAGAGATCTTATTAATTTCTCTATGAGTAAAATCACCCATACACTAGATATTACTTATATCATCAAAAAACTATAAGAAATAGATAAATTAAAATTAATTTTATTAAATTCAGATTAAATTAAACTTTTTGATTATTTACCTAAACCTAAACTTGGCTTACATATGAAAGCAAGTGAAAATGAATACTGCTCTATACTAAAACCTGAATTGTCTGATCTTGATAAAGCTTTAGAAGCTTAAAAAGCCTTTTAGGCCCTTTAAGATTAGGATGATGAAATAACACCTAAATTAGTAAAGCTCTTAGACGATGATTTAGTTTCCTTATTTAAATTATAACTAAATAAAGGTGTAAATCGATTCGTTAAAAAACCAGCTCAACTAGCAGATGCAGTCTAATAATTAATGCTAATTAATGCAAAAGAAAAAGAAAAAAATAAAGAAAAGGAAAAGAAGAAAGATAAAAAGAAAAAGAAAAAGAAACAAGATGAATCTAGTAATTCAGAAGACTCTGCATCTTCTGGCTCTGAAAAAGAATGATATGTTATACAAAAGTATATAATTATGAATTTATCTTATAAATTAATAGATAAATATTGAATTTTTTAGATTTTAGGTAGTATTTGCTTATGTAGTAATATTTTATAGATATTTAGTTTAAAATTTCTTTCTATAATGAATGATAAATAATCAAATATAATGAAATTATATCTCATCTTAATAAATCTTAAAATTATTATTATCTTATTAATTTAAGAAATCTTTAAGAATCAAAATAAATTAAGCATTATAATTAAATATAATCAATAGTATTTATTCATATCTAATGTAGATTCTTTTAGTGAAACTTTCAAAAAATAAAATATTAATCAGGTTTTTTAACTTTATGTTTAGATCTAAATAAGTAAAAAAATATAATACGTAAGTTAATTAAAGAATTCTTTTAATTGATCTGAAGTATATGGCAGATCATCATACAATTTAGGAGTATATTCTTTTACTTAAAAAAGACATGGTTTTATATTTTCTTATATATGTTATTAGTTTATAGTAGGAAATTTGACATTAATTGGATAGTGATAAGACTTTGAAATTTCTGTAATAGATCTTTGAGTTCTTTCATTTTTTGAAATCAGTACATTTCTTGCATGAGGTAACACTGATAAATAATTTATTTAATAATCCAACAGTTAAGGTGATCTTATATTTTGTTGTCTCTCTTATGAGGATCCAAATGCAATTTTAGACAGCAGCCTTTTTTTCTTTTTCTATTTGTATTACCATTTATTATCAATCTAATTTTTGAGAACGAATGAATCAAATTTCATTTATTCATTGCTTTTTTGTGAATTTTACATTATAATTTAAATAAAAAAACTTTTGATTTCATTGAAATGTGTTCTCTTGGTTTAAAGTAATAAACATGTATTTTCAATAATAATTCAAATTTTATCTACAAGAATTTTGTATTCTTTTAGAGATTTTCTTTTATTTATATATAATATATTTTTTTTACATTTCTTCTTAAAGAATTATAATACTATGAATATTAGAAAGATGAATTCATCATATAAATCTGTATCATTATTAATTTTATCTTCATTGTTATATTTATAAATATTATAAATTCAATAACTTCTTTTTTATATTTTATCATAAATTAATATAAAAATATCTGGCATAAGATGAATAATTTTTAATCTTATAATCTCATTACTAATAATATCATTTTAATGGACTTAGGATTTTTCTATTTTTTTTTAAATAACCTAAGCTAATTAATTTTCTGTTATAAATGCAAATTTAATAATTTAAATTGAAAATTCATTAAAAATATTAGAATTGCAAGATCATCTTTTAAAATGAACTTAAGAATATAGAATTTTTGATTAATTATTAATCTTAGTTTCAATTATTTGATTTAAATGATTTTTAAATTATAAGTATTTAAAGAGATTATTATATATTAATAAATTATATATGTATTTATATATATATATATATAAATAATAGCATAAAATTATTTCATTAAGATTTAGCACAACATTGATTATTTTTAGTTGTTTATGGTTGTTACAACTATTTAAATCCATTCTAATCCTGATGAACAGATTTTCTGTTGGAAACCACTGTTTATTGTTCAAATTATGATTAGTTTACTATAAAAATAATTGAAAATGAGATAACCTTATGATTATGTTATAAGAAAAGAATGATCAGTTGGTAAAGCTAGACAAATTTATTCCATAGCTTCTTCAATTCCCTTACCTGTTTTAGCACTTACTTCATAATAAAGAATATCTTTTTTCATGGCATAATCTCTAGCTTCTTATGAACTAATAATTCTTTCTGCATCTATTTTATTTCCTAAAATGACAATCAAAGCTTCATTGCCCCTAGTTTATTTAACTTCATTAAACCATCTATCCAAGCTTTCGAAAGAATGTCTAGCTAATAATATAATAAATGTTTTACATGTTACATCAAAAACAATTACAGCACATTATGCATCTCTGACATAGCCAGGAATCAATGAATGAAATCTTTCTTATCCTGCAGTGTCCCATAAAAGCAGACGCATATTTTTTCCATCAATAATCATATTTTTACTAATAAAATCTATTCCAACAGTAGGTTGAGATTTTGGATCATGAGTATTTTAAACAAATCGTTCAATAATACTTGTTTTGCCAACAAATGAATTTCCTAAAAATACTAACTTTTATTTTTATCTAGCTTCTGATTGCATTATATTATTTTTAGAATTAAATTTTGAAAAAAAAACTCAGAATTTTTATTAACAAAGAAATTTTATAAACACATAAATCTTTTATATCATCTTAAATTTAATAAATCTGACTATAATATTTATATGTCCTATAATAATATAATAAATATAGGTTGATATAAATAAAATTTCAAATATTAATAGAAATAATAACTAAAAATAAATTTGATTAACTGAATTATAAAAAATAAATGAAATGAAAAGATTATCTAAGGTATAATAGAAATCATTAATTGTTTCCCTTAGTAATTGTATCATAAGATTCTTAATTCATTATATTGATTCCATATTTAAGTTTTAATGTTTTAGAATATATTTCCAATTTTTCTTAGTTTCATATAATAAAATTCTTAAATTACTACAAGTTCGTAAAGATATTTGTATTATTCAGAATTCATTAACTCATGCTCAGTTAAATTGGAAAAGATACATGCTATCTAAATATTGAAATAAGAATTACTTATATTATTAAATTAATTGATATGACATATATTCCAAATATCATCCCATAATATGATATTAATTCGATTATACTTATGAAATTTGAAAACATTGGCATGAAAAAGAATAATGTAATACTTATTTGATTATTCGATATTGTATAATAAGTGAAGTAAACATTAGATATAAAAGTTAGAAAGTATATTAACAATAAGATCACATAAAATAAATGATTAGTATTATTAATACATTTATTCAAATATAGAGAGTGAAATTAAAATCCTTTGACCTAAATAAATGATATAATTATTTACACATTTATTACAATGTTCACAATGATAAACTTATGCTTTTTAGATTATTTTACATTTAGAGCAAGTCCTAGATATATCAAAATTAATAAATTATTCATCTTTCTCAAAATACAATTTTACAGCTCTCAATAATTCTGATAGATTTTATGAATTTCTATTTTCCAAATCATCTTATATATCATCTAAATTTATCTCCTCTTCCAAAATATGATGTTTATGTTCACCAGAATTATTGTGATGAAATTAATAACTTATTTTAGGATGTCCTAAACTTTTTGATATCTTTTTGCCTTCTTCTTGTCTATTCGTACTTTTAGATAAAAAGAAAATGCTATAAAATAAGCTGATTAAAGTTAGAAATAAAGAGATTAAAGAAATGCAATAACCATAAGTATCATCACTTTTTAATCTCCAAAAATTACATGCAACGAGAAATCCAATCATTAAATAGAATATACCAATAATTATATATTGAATTAATTTTGTGTTATGATGTTTTATGAATTCTTAAAATTAAATAGTTTCTACTATTTTTTTTATTGCTTAGGTTTTTAAATCAGTTTCATAATTTGGCATAATATCTGGATATGTTCTTAGCAAATATTCAACTGTATCATTAGAATAATTTGAGATTGCTCTAATCAAAGGAGTTTTACCCTTAGAATCCAATTGATTATAAGACTTATCTCCTTCAAAATATTTTAACATATAAACATCATTTGTATAGGCAGCCCAATGCATAATTGTACATCCAGCATTATCCTTAACATCTGTATTAGCTTATAAAGCTATCAAATAAAGGGCAATCAATTATTAATTACATTTTATTGCATAAAGTAAAGGTGTAAATTATAAATTATCTTACTCATTGATTTTATTTCCTAAATCAATAAAAAGTCTAACCAACTCTTAATTTCCAAAATGACAAGCCATCATCAAACAACTTTATTAAATTTAAGATTTGGTTAATGGATTTGCACCCTTCAAAAGTAAGTATCTAATAATATCCAATCTTTCAAATGAAATGGCATGATGAATTAATGCATATCCTGTTGAATCTAATTCATCTAAATTTTCTGGAGTGTGTAATATTAATACATTAAAATTTCCTTATTGAATTTCTTATTCAAAAAATATAGGTTATTATTTGATTATATCTTCTAATGTTTCTTATACATATTATTAAGGTTAAGGCAATAATTTAGAATCATGTGATTCACTATCCAATTCAAGTTATTCATATTCCTCTAAAACATTATCATTCATTTTAATTAATACACCCTTACTAAATTCATAATAATATATAAATATATTAAAATTTAATATGCGGGGATTTTTGAGCCTTGCTAAGACTATTGTTTATTCATCATCAATTGTTAAACCTACTTAATAAATAAAAATGCAGTTTCGATTGTATATAAATATTCATATATTAGGGCAAATCAACAATTGGCATCTTAATTCAGGTTATGTTCCACCATTCAAATTTTGAGATTGATCAATTTGCAAGGATTGAGTTCCAATTCTTAAATAGAAGATGCAGATGGTATTTAATAATTCTCGATTATTAGAATAAGATTTGGAATCAACCATTTCCAAAATACTTTCAGTAACTCTAAAAAGCAATACTGAGAAGCATAGATTGGAATTCATAACTAAATGATATCATATTTGGTTTATATCTAAAATTAAATCAAAAATATAAATTTAACTACTTTTTAAACCTCTAACATTTATATTTAAATTTCATGTAAATCCATTTTACAAAAAAGAAGATTCATAAAATTCTAAATAAAATAAATACATTATTGAAAACACTTCTTCAAACATTTGATAATCCACTCTATAACATTAAAAAGATAATGACTAATTTAATAGTTCAACATATATATCTATGATTTATATTTTCAAATCATTATATATAAATACTATACTTATAAGTTAAAAGTATCATCCTTTTATGTAATCTTAATTAGACTCAAATTCAATATTTATTTGATTAAAATACTTTAGAATGGTACATATATTTTCTGATTTAAAGCTATTATGTATTATTAATTTGTTATGAATTATCTTTGTAACTTATTATAACTAATCAATTATTATTAACACAATCTTTATTTTAAAACTTTCTATACTCCTTACGATAAGCCTCAATATCTATTTCACTAACACATTTTAATTAATTTAATTTCCACTCCAAAATTAATTTAGTAACACTTTAAGTAACCTAAAAAATATGCATAACTTCATTGAATTCTTATCTTTTATTTTCTACAATCTTATTTTTCTATTCCTTTTGCTTAAAATACTAATCTATAAGATTCTACCGATGATTATTCTTTGGCCTGAATTGATTGTTGATGATCTTATTAGGACTGCTCAGAGAATTTAGAATGTAATAATTTTAAAAAATGTAAATATTCAACTCTTTTACTTCTGTGATGAATATCAAATAACTATATGACCTAATTAAGTTCATTTAAATTATAAATAAATCTGAGGATTTTTGATATCTTAACTTTTTTGTAATGTTTAAATCATATATTTTCTCCATTTAATCCTATATTTTTGTTACCATTCAATATTTTATTCAAATAAACCAAGATAATTTGATTAAATCATTAGAATTTTATTGAAATTTCTAGTCATGATTTTAATTTCAATGTAAAAAATAATGAAAATATTATTATAAACTAAAATCATAGTATAATTAAAATAAAAACAAAGATGGATTAACATCTTTTCATAATTAATAAACAAATAATAAGTAAGAAACCTTACCTGAAAAAGAACCATTTTTTTCAGAAATTAAAAATCAAGTAAAACTTAAAAAATAACTTAAGTTTTTTTATATTCAAGTTTTATGTGTAAACAATTTCATAAACTAAAATTAGATCTCATTAAATATATTGATTAACTATGTTCTTCAATCAATTGTAAAATGATCTAAATTTAGATTCTCATATTTATTTTTGAAAAGAATTCAATAAAAAGAAGTTATATTTCATTTAAGAGATTTAATAAGTATATTATGTAACTAGATTAAAAAAATTGTGAATTTTTATAGATTAAATATAAGTTTAACTTATTTCTTTTAAAAAAGATTTAGATATCTAGATTAATAAAATTAACTCTAACATCTAAAAATAATATCTCCCCTTTGGCTATATAACTCTTTTAAAAGTGTTAGTTAAAGTTTTAAATCTAATGGCAGGTAATTATTAAGTTAAAATTCCTTAACAGAACTTTTAAATCCTATAATATCTATAATTAAAGCTGCAATTTGCAATGGGGAAATATAGGATTAAAGTTAAACCTATTTCTTTCATTCAACTCAAAGTATCAATATAATAGCATCAATTATAATGTGAAAAAAAGCATTTAAATTTATTGTGAATGCGTATTATAATAATTTACTAATATATATTTAACTCAGAGTGTGAAGATTAATCAAGCTTGACTTTAGATGTGTATGCTTATTTATTAAGATTCAAACATGCTTTGATTCATGAAAAAGCTTTTGCTCATTGGATTTTGAGCATTTAATCTACATCTTTCTAATTGCAAATTCCATTCACTCTATTTTATTGTCATTAAAGGTTTTGGAATCCTAAGGAAATTAGAACTATTCATTTAGTAAGTTTTTATTTTTATTTTATTTTTGAAATTAATCACAATATTTATATTCTTTTATATTAAAATTCATCTCACTTGGGTATTGCTTGTAACTTTTAATTGACAAATGATTTTTTTTCATTGATGATTTATTTAATTTCTTCTTCAGTATAAATATTAGCATTTAATGTCCTTAATGTTTCCCCTTTCCTATTGATTGCTTTTAAGAAATTCATTTATTATTCTGGTATGTCACTTAACTTAACTTATTATATCAATTGCCAATAAGGATTAACTACTTCCTCTAAATTATGATCAAGGTATTTATATAAAAAATTTCTCACTTAATCATTATCAAATTCATCCATCAATACTTCAAATAATTCTTTAACCTCCTTTCTTATAGCTAGTATTTTTAGTTAAAAACTTTCACTTTTTTTTTAACAATCTGATTATAATTCTGAGTGAACTTTATTAGAATTATTTATTTGATTGATCAATTTATTTAAAACTAATTATTGTAAAGTCTTATCATTCTGATAATGGTTAAGGATGATTTCAGTTTCAGCAGCCACTTCTAGAACTATTTTGACATCTCTCAAAAATAAGTATTTAAAACTTTGAACCTCTGTGTACTCTGAAAAATTATTTTAAGGTTATTGCATATAAAATATATTTAATAATATCTTAATCAAACTCTACTACCAAATATAGAGCTTAAAGGTCTTCCAAATTAACTTTATTCTTATTCAGCATCAGCATATGGATCCTCAATGCCTTTTTCTTTAAGAATCTTTTTGAAATTTTTAATCATTGCATCATTGGCTTGTAATTAATTGATAGCAATTTGCAACTAATTTTATAATTCTACATTCTTTTAGAATTCAAATGGTTATAATTTTTATTTATCGAAATTGGGACCTCTCAAGATTTTACCTACTTTATTACTCTTTTATGGTAGTGATTATAGTCTAGCTTAAGCACTTCCTTATTTATTAATATTCAAAGCTGAAGGTAATATGGGTTATTAAGATTATTACATTACATCTTCGTTCATCATCTCAACATTTTACTAAAGTTATTTAAGAATATAAATACTTCTCCAATATTTTTACCAAGCTTAGTTTATAAGACTTTAATTTCTTATTTAAATTTTTCATTTTCTTTTTTATATTTATCATTTTCAATTTTTAAATTTGATTTTTCTGTTTCATAATCTTTACATTATTTTCTAATTTCATTTAATTCATGTATTAATTATTAATTCTCACTAGTTCTTTTATAAATTTCTTTTTCTCTTCTAACCATCATTTTTTCTGTACTTGAATTAATTTAAATGGCACTCTTTTCTAAATGATTAATATGTCTATTCATTTCTTCAATAGAACGAGGATCATTAGAACTTTATTTAATTTCTTATTAAAGGACATATCTTTAATATAATTTAGTCATTTCCTTTTTCCATTCCTAAAATAATTAAATTATATTACTTTATCATCAATATAATGTACACAATTATGAATATCTCTAGTAATATTTTATATAATATTTTCTTTCTTTTTAGTAGTTTAAATTTATAAATTTAAATCATGAGTAAGAGCATTAGTTTTACTAGTTTCTTCATTAATTTTAGAATTCAATTCACTATTAATTTTTAATTATTTTGCAAATTCACTTTCTAATCTAAATAATTCTTCTTTTAATTTTTCAATTTAAGCTTCCTTAGGTTCTAATGATTTTTTCATTTCTGTAGTTCTAAATGATAAAACATGTTTAGATTTTTGTAAAACATTAATTTTATCTTTATATTCTGAAATCTTTTTATCTTTTTTCTTTAATTGATCATCCTTATCTTCTAAATCTTTACATTAAACATCTATTTTGGTTTCAGCTTCCTTAAGGTTTTTCTCTAATAACTAATAAGCTTATTCCTTCTCTTATAATCTTTTATCTAATTTTTCATTTTCTAATCTTAATTCTTATACTAATTTCTACTCTTATTTAAACTTTGAGTCTTTTTCAGCTAATAAACATTTAAGTCTATCAATTTCTTTTTTCTATCTATCATTTAAATCTTTAATTTCAAATTCATGATCTTCTTCTTATTATGCTAAGATTTCTTCATATGTTGCTTTTAATTAATCTGCTTGATTTTAATTATTCTCTAAAGCTTTGGCTGTAATTTAGAAATTCTTATAAAACTTCTCTTTTAATTCTTCAATATATGAAGTATGTTTTGATTCGAATTCTTTAGCTTAAGCTTAATTCCTTCTTCTTTCTTCCATTAAATCCTATTCTAATTATAGATATTTTTCATTCTCAAATGCTAATTTTCTTTCATATAAATTTTCTAATTCTTCAACAGCTTTTAAATGATTATTTTCTACATTTTTAAATAAATTAGCAGATTCTTTTTCTGCAGCTGACTTTTAAGCCTTTAATTAATCATAACGTGCAGCCCAAGCAGCAATTTCATTATTCATTTATTTTTCAATTTCTAATTTTTCCTTTTCAACTTTTCTTTTCTCTTCTTATACTTTAAAATCAGTCTTTTAATCAAGATCCTATAAATCATTATGTAATTTCTTCATTTCAGCAATATAAGTTTCAATTTCATTTCTAGAGACTAATAAAACATCAGCTAAATTTTCATCAACAACTCCAGCCTTAGGATTAATTTTATCAATATCATCCATCTATTCTTTAGCTTCAGCTCCTGTTTTAGAAGCATAAATCTAACCATCATTAGAAATTTCAGAAACTTAATATATAAATAGAACACCATCAGTTCCAGTTGAGAATACATATCTACCATCTGGACTACATTTAATTCTAGTAATTTCTCCTTAATGAACAGGCATAGTTTCAAAAGCCATTTGATTAAATATATAGGAATATATTTTTATTTATCCATTTTCTGTACCTCCTATAATTCCAAATTGATTATATAATGATTAAATATAAGCTAATTATGTTAATTTTTATTAACCAAGATCATGAAAATGATGATCTTTACCAGTACTTATTCCATTCTAAACAATTCTTTATTCTCTAACTATATATTTAGTATCAATTTTATCTTGCTCTGTTTTATCTTTAATACTTTCAGTTCCTGCAGCTATTAACATACCAATAGGTGGATCATAAATTAATGATGTATATTTATTTGTATTATAAACATAATCTTTTCTAGACCAATCATTGGGATTCCATTCAAATATACTACCATCTAATCCACAACTAGCCAAAAATGTATCTTTGATTCCCCATATTAAATCAGTTATTTAATTACTATGACCTTTTAAAGTGTGCATAAATTCCATTGTATATGCATCATAAATATTAATATAATAATGATTGCTTTTAGCTCTTGGATACGCAACTGCTAACATATGACCTCCTATACTAAATTTCACTTATGTGCAACATTTTACAGCCATTTCTTTATAAGCACGTAATTCACTATGCAAAACATGGAAAATACGTAATTTATCTTAAAATCCTGCTGCCAAATAATAACCTGTTGGATGAAAACCTACTGAACATAAAGGTGAAATATCTTAGGTTGTACTCTAATTCTCTTTTGTACCTAAACCTTATTAATTACCATCATCTCCTAAATAAAATTTACGAGCTAATTCACATCTAGGATAAGCATAATTCCATATTCTAATTGTACTATCATATTTGCTTGCTGTAACTATTAAAGGTCTTTATAAACAAACATCTAAATGTGTAATTGGAGCATTATGAAATCCATTAAATAAAAAATCAAATTTAACTTCTCTCTTTAAGAATTTCTCATTATTTTTATAAGATTCCAATACTTCAGTTGAATTAGGTAATACTTAACCCATTTCTATTGTGCAGATATCATTATTAGAAAATGCTACTGCAACTAAATCTTCTTATTTTGTTATATCCATACTAACAACTTAACTCTTTCTTTCACATCTCCATTTCTTTAAAAATTGTAAATCCATTATAACTTCAATACCATCTTCTGTCTTCTATTTATCATGATCATCACCTCTAATCCAAAGTGCAAAATGTCCACTATCTGATCCAATCAAAAATCCTTTAGAAAAAGCAATTAAAGAAGAAATTCCTGGTCCTCTAATATCATTAAAAGCATTATTTATATATTGTCTTACATCATTATCATGAATGATAAAAATTTCAGCTTTGTCATTTGCCAAAACCACTTTATTTTCTTCAAACCATGCATGATCTGTAAATGTCTAAATTGGAGCTAATCTCTTAATTTAATCTGTTAATGAAATAAAGGAGTTCTCTTAAACTCTTAATATTTTAAAGTAGTTTTTTCCACTTACAGCTACCATATGATTATCTTTAGGAGATATTGAAACTCTTGTTAACTCTTATCCTATTGCAGATAAAGCTAAATGTTTCATTCTAATCAAATCTACAAAAATCAATAGATAATCTGGAGGACCTGTCAAACATAGTAAAAATCTAATGTCGATTTAATATTTAAATTATTACCTAGAATCTGTATGTGAAAATGCCATACTAATAAATGTTGATGATTTAGTATCTAAATATTTATATGGTTTTTTCTCAGCCTCCATTTTACTGGGATGAGCTTTCAAATTATAAATTACTAACTAAGGAACTGTTTCATTTTTCATTTTTTCTGCAACTGCTAATGTCCTATTAAAATTAAATAGTGTTTTTAGTACCTTTTGTTAGGAGCAACAGTCATACAGGAAACAATTTCTAGATTATCAGATAATCTGATAAATTGAGTATCAGGTTTATCAATAAATTTTTAAGCTATAAATTTACCAACTGGATATAGTAATCTCCTTTATTCATCTAATAACTTAATATATTAATTCTCTACCCTCTATAATACTTATGCTGTCTTTAAATTTTGCTGAACATAAACTACCATATGATTATATCACATCTAATTTAAGTCTTCTATCTTCATTTCTTCTTTTCTTATCATCCATTTTAAAAATAATTATATATATATAATAATTATAATTATGAAATCACAGATTATACTAAATTTATTGATCATCTCAGTTTTGGCAACTGTTTGAAAGACACTCAAATCATAAAAGCATTACAAAGTCTTTGATCAAATTTTAATCAAAAAGGACCATTTATAGTCTCAAAAAGTGGAGCTAATTAAGAGCATAAAGATGCCTTTTTATTTATAAACTATTTCCTCAGAATAAAAGGAATTGTCAAGATTTCAGAAATCAATCCGTCAATTGTTGAAGGCCAAAAATTCTATAATTTATTTAAGTCAATATATATTAATTATTCTTTATTTCAGATACAAAAATTGCTTTGAAGACAAGTAGTTCTTGGAGAATTTTTAGAAATTGATTAATATAGTGAGGATCAATTATAAAATAAGATTTTAATTAATTATTTCAGTTCAAAACAATATCAAATTTTTAGGAACTCATTTAATTGTTTCTAAAAGATTAATTAAAATAACAGATAATGATTGGAACAATTGGCAAGATATTTAATAAATTGAAAGAGATTTAGCTTAGTTATTATATATATCCTAACTGATTCGTTATAATGATCAAAATTATCATTTTTAAATAATTTATTGTTTATCTATTAAATCAACAATATATTAAAAATTAAATGTTTATTAAATAAATTTTTCATTTCTTTTGATAACTTAAATTTATGTAATTAATTTAGAATATTAAGACATTTATTTATATTTAGTCCATGATATCGTTATCAAAAGTGAGACTATTTTTTGAATTTATTTATTTTATTATAATTATTATATTTTGATATACCTAAAAACAATAGATTTTCTTAATATTAATAATCATTTTTTCTATGATATAATAGAATCTAAAAATTATTGACAAAGAAAAACATAGAAGGCAATGTAAACATAATTTAGAATGATATAGAAAAATAAATTTATAATTAGATGCATAAATATTAAGATTCATTATTTTTCTATTTATTCTTAATCTCCTTCCTATTCTTCTATTTAAAGGGCCCTACCAAAAGGGAAAAATTTAGTCTCTTTTTCTTGAATACATTTATTAACATATTTCTCTAATGCATTGCAATCATTTGGATCTTTATTTTTAATATAAATTATGAAATATAACATATGATATACACTATGTTCCAAGTATATATGATAATGCCATCCTTTTGTACCTCTAATAAAATAATAAATAAATATTTTACTTTGTATCAATATCATTTTTATCTTAGCTACAAATAAAGCATTTTCCTTCAATTTCTTTAACCAAAGCTTATCTTTCATCTCTTAATTCCCCAAAAGTATCTAAAATGATACCAAATATGATTTAGATAAAAAGAATGTTGAAAATGATGAAAAAAGTAAAATCAAAAAAGTATCTACCCCAATATAAGGTGGGATCCTCATAAGCATCAGGATATTTAGTCAAAGATTCTCCTAAACCTCCACCATTTCTTAATCCAAAATTGATTGTTGAAGTAACAGCAAGAATAAAGGTTTAGCCATATACACCACTTTCATCATCAAACATAGAATCAAAATTAGAGAATGCAATAATTGCATAGATTAACAAACCAATCAACCCTAAGAATGAAAAGATGGCTAAATTTCGACCATTAGATGTAATTGATCTAATAATATTTTAGAGATCCTCTGATCTTTTAACAATATCCAATAAGAGTACAGCATAAATATAAGGATTAAAGAATGCATATACGGTTAGCCCAAAAATGCAAATCTATTTTAAATAAATAAATATTACATTATAGAAATTATCAAAGTCGAAAAATATTACTAAAATTAATTTCTTAATTGAACTTTGATTAACTTAATCTTCTTAGAATTCTGATTCAAAATATCCTATCAAACTATAATATTTCATTGTCACCCATGAAATCTAAAATCCTGCTTCTTTTTTTAAGATTTGTACTCTCTTTGCGTTTGTCTATCCTCTATTATATGTAATGGAAATAGGATATCTTTCAATAGCACAAAAGAAAACAATAATTAAATTTAAAACTAACTAAACAATAGTAATTATCTAATATAGAATAAGAAATCTATACATTATTTAAATAACTAACAAAGCTTTCTCCAGATGTTACATTTGAATCTTCAGGTGCATCACTATTTGATCCTATTTTACTATTTAATACTGTATCATGCATAAAGATAAGTAAAACTACAATAATTAGACATAATAAGAAGGATACATCCTTTAATAATCTCCAATATACTGCACCAAAATGCATAACCTTTCTATTATTAATTTATTAAGAATGTCTCATTTAAACTTAATAGAATTCAGAAAATTCAATTAATCCTAACATTCTATCTTCATCTGTTTCTCTATTAATTTCATAAATCAAATGTTATTTAATATTTGGAGTAATAAAATTACAAACAAATGGTTTTTAAAAAAAGACTTTTTCTAATTGATTGAATTCATTTTATATTTCTATTCTTCCAGTGAATTATCTATAAAATTTAAAGAATCTTTATGTTCTATCAAATTAATAATTTTTATCATTTTGAACATCCAATAACATTTTTTTTAAACTTTAATTTTCATATTTTTATTCTTCTTTAATCAATAATCCATCAACTTCATCTTAATTATAATCATATTTGCTTCCTGGATTAATAGGTAAAATCTTTTAATTTGACAATGTCTTCTTTTTTTATAATTCTTCTTCTTGAAAATCATCTAAATCTAATAGATCTTCTTATTCTTCTTATTCCTCATCAAATAAAAATAATTCCAATTAAGAATCATGTGGAAAATGTTCTGATAATTTTAGACAAATAATAAATATATTAAATCCTGTTTATATTAACATATTGTCTTCATCTGTTCTTAATCCAAAATGACATAAACTATTAGTACAATGTTTATGATTTCCTGTTTCTGATTCATCACAAATATTATCTAAAATAATGTTCCTTTATTTAGGTTTGATTCTTTCCTCATAAATTGATTTTGCTATCCTTATCAAAATAGTAATATCAACTGTTTTTAATATAAATTCCAATGATTAAATATCTGCTCTACCTTAAGTTAATAATAACAACAATTTAATAAATGATTATAATGTTTAATATGAAGCATACTTTTTTTTTCCTTCATCAGATCCTATTCCTCCATTATCTATAACAATATCTTCATCTAATGTCTAATTCATTTATTGTTTTTCCTTTAATATCATTCTATTTTCTTAATAGAGCTAACTAAAATTTAATAGGTCCTATTTTTGTAAAATTGAATTTAATAAAGTGAATAATCTTGCATTTTTACATAATTCTTTTTTATTTTCTACATAACCTGTAGAAAATTCAACTAAACTTTCTAATGCTTATCTATAGATTTCTTATAATTTATAAAAAACTTTTTATCCTTTCTCTAAAAGATCAGCCAATAAGCCTGCCACTTCATTTACTATATTGATATTAGCTTAATATGAATCATCATCATATTAAAATACTAAAAATTTCTAAAACTCCATATTTACATTCTCACATAAAGCTTGAAGAAATTAAAGTACTTTAAGACATAGTAATTTATATTCAGTATTGTCTCCTTCAGTTAATTCTAATTCTTTAATTCTAACATCTAAATCTATCAAAAAGAATCCTCTTAGAAATACTAAAAACTTTTATTTTACATGTTCTTCTTTTAACAATTTATAAAACTTTTTCTATACATATTCATTTCCATAATCTAATAAATGAATAAGAAAAGATAATGCTTCAATTTTTTAATTATCATCATCTGTTTAATTTAACATCTCCAAAGCTAAAATATCAAGTTCTCCATCAGCCATGGCCCTTTAAAATTTAACATATGTTTCTTTCTTTTCTCTTACAGCTTATTTAGAATCTTCATCTTTTGCTTCAGTCAAAGAATCCATCTCATCTTAAGTTGGCCTTTTTAATGATAAAAATATTCTACAAAGTTTGATTAAATATATTTCTTTATTTAAAAATATTTCTTAACATTTTTTTAAAAAGTTGTTTAGATTTTCTAAATTAAATACATTAGTTCTTTATTTTTCTAATGTTTTTATTAAGAGTTCTATTTAAACATCTTCAGAAATTAAATTTCCATTTAATTCAAGTTATCCTCCTAATTTTTTATAATATTTTGCAATTAATCGAATAGTAGATAATTAAAAGTCTTTTTTTAAACTATCCAAACTATCTTATTAACGTTTATAAGCTTAAATTGATTAAGAAGTTATATTAGCATTAAACTTTCTTTCAAATGATTCTCTCATTGCTTATTTAAATAATTCCCAATCAACAAATTGTTTATTTCTGTTATTTACAGATTCTTGATTTTTGATACGAGCCACATCAGTTTAATATATATTTTCAATATCTTTTAATTAAATGTACTATTTATAAACATTACAAGTCTTGACAATTTTTCTTGATTTTTCTTAATCTGTTAATTCTGAAGCACTTTTTTCAATAAAATAACAAAACTACAAAATATTTACTTTATATCTTATCAAATATATTTTAAAATTCCTCTTAAATGGGTTTTCAATCCTTTAAACATTATCTTATTCTTATAATTTTTTTTCTCCATTTTAATCTTCTTTTAAAGTATCATATTTATCAAATAATAATTTATCACTATTTTTGTCTTATATAAATCCAATTCTAAAATTCTAACCAAATTTTGTAATTTTTCTTTGAGGTATAATTTCCTCAATTGATATAATTAGTTCTCTATAATCATCTAAATCCAAATCTTCTTTCTTTACTCTAAAATCTCTTTCTAAAACATTGAATATTTCTTTTATCTTTTGTACATTTTATTTAATAATTGCAAATTCATCTGATAAATTTGAATTCTCTGGATTTTCTATATCAATTCTATCTTTCATTTCATCATATGTATATACTAAAAAATGAATAATACCATTCTTTCTTAAATATGTCCAAAATTCACTACAATCTCTAAGTATTCCTAATTCTTTATCTGATGCTGAATCTATAGATAATCTTTTTTCAAAATAATTTCTTTTTTATCTTGCAATTTATTCTCTCAAATCCCTTTGAGTAACCTTTTTATTTTAATCTAAATTAATTAATTTTGCTAACCCTTCTAAAAATTTACATATCTGTTTCTAATCTAACTCAGGTATAATTATTCTGGATAAAATATCTCTTACTTCATCACTCTCAACAGTATCATTTATAAAATCTCCCTCTTTTGCTTTATTTATATATAATTCAAATAAACATTATAAATAGGCTCTCTTAACAATATATTCAGCATTTGAATATAAAAGTATTGATTTAAGTTATTCATATAATATTATTCTTTACATTTCTTGAATACCTAATCTATAATATTAACAACATTCAGTAATTAAAATAATCAATTAAGCATGCAATTTTATTCTATGATAATATAATTTATCAGTTCCATTTTACTATTCTAATTCTTATTCAGGAACTAATATCTTTTTATAGTAATTTACTGGTTCTAATACAATTCTCAAAAAATCATTTTTTAAAATGGAACTTAAAATCAAATGTTTATTGAGAGGAGATTATTCAGCAGGAGTTTCAAAAGTTTTAGTTAATGATCTTAAAATTCTTAAATATTGAATTAAACTAAAATAAGCAACAGCATCCAAATATTGCTTTCTTGGAGTAATCTTTCTTTCAAAAAATACATCTCTTAAACTAAAGGCATTCACAAAAAAATCTTAACTTGTCATTAATTCATTTCCTATTTTTTCAATTCTATCAAAAACATTTATAATAAAATTATCATGTTCAGATAATGGAATTGTAGCCAGTAATTATACTATAATTTTAGTAATTTTTATTGGTACATAATACCAATCCTCAGCTTCCTATTAATCAATTTAGATTATATCAAGTAATTTATATAAATACTAATTTTAAGCTAGAATTCCTATATTAGTTTCATTATCCTTTATGAAATATTCAAAAAACAAAATTAATTTCTTATAAAATTAAACAATATCAGGAGAACTACATACACTTTTGGGTTTTATTAGAAATTCTAGAAATACCATATGAACACCTGCATTTCTAACAATATTTTAAAATGATTTTAAATATTAAGCCTCTTAAGAATTTGGTTTAAAGAACTATTCAAATTATTCTATTATTTTTGATTAATAATTTTTTAAGGTATCAAATGATGTTATTCTTTTTTAAGCATTTCTTTTTCTTTTAGAATTTTGAATGAATTTTACTGCTCTTTTTGTTAATATTTATGCTTCTTTTGGACTAATAATCTAAACAGCACTTGAATTTCCATTTATTATTGAAAAATACTTTAATTCCATTAAATTATCTATAATTTCTACTTCTTTAATTTCATTTGTTGAATTTTTAGGTGCATGAAAGTTATCTATTAAAATTTATAGTAATTCTTCATTTAATTTATTCCTTTTTTCTGATGAAAGTAAACAAGAAAATAATAAAGCGCTAAATCTATTACCATCTGGTTCTTTAAACACATTAAATATAGCTTTTTATGCTGGTGTTTTTTATTTTTTTATCTAATCTTCTTAATTACTATTTGGAATTTCATTAAAATCAAATTAATCTAGATCTCTAGAACTTGGAGAACTTAAATTTGATTCATTTAATTATTATTTACTAAATAGAAATTCTAATATTTAAAGATTCAATTTTAAAAATCCAAATATTTTTAGAATTTGTAAACCTTCTAAGTAAATTTTCATTTTTAATAAATCATCTTCACAATATTAAAATGACCAAATCAAAAATTAAAGAATCCAATTTCTTTAAAATTAAATATCTGATTTGATAATTTATTCAGATTATTTCTAAGATCTATCTAATTTTTTATGTTTAGATTTTCTTTATTCTTATAATTATTAAGCAGTAGGTAAATATGTTGTAACCCATACATTCTTTTCAATAGATTAATTTAATTTAAAAAGATTAGATTCAAAACTTTCATTATCTTTAAATTTATGAATCTTAATATCAGATCTTTATTATAAGATTAATGCTACAAAAATATTAGGTAATATTGAAAATATTCTTTAATTTTCATCTAATTAATTATATCCCAAATCTATACTATTTTTTACAATTTATAAAATTCCCAAGAAATACTATAATTAATAATTGGCTAATCTTTTATAATCAATATTTATTTGATTAATAGTTGATTTGAAAGATTAAAATAGATTGTTATTAAATTCTTGAACTTTAAAATGATCTGGATAATCTATTTATGTAAATATTTCTAAATAGTGTATTCTTACATCATTTATTTATTTTCTAGATAGCATTTTAGAAGCATATAATTTTAAATATTGATGTTCTGCTTTTGCCTCTTTTTAATTAATGAATTTTTAATATTCTTCATTTCTTTTTAATTATTTTGAAGCATTATTTTCATAGAAATAAATTCCTGATTAATTTTAAATATCAAATTGATCTAAATCATCATTCAAATAACATTTATTATCAAATGATGATATTTTTATTAATGGATCAATATCTAAATATAAATTACAAAATAATTCAATTAAAGTTCTCTCAAATCTCAATTCTGTTTTAATATTTTATTATCTTTTTAAACAGATTTCTAAAAACTTTTCATTTAAAAAACAATTTTTCATCAAACATTTAATACTTTTTTAATTTCTTCCCTTACATAATGAGGAATATAAATCCATAACATTCATTAAATAATTTTCATATTTTAAAAATATTGGTAACACTACTTTAAAATCTTCCTATCTTACTAATTGATTTTCTTTTAAAGCCTCTGTAGTAAAGAAATCTATTGTTACATCAACTAAAGGAGGTCTCCTTGTCATAAATCTTTATGTAACTTTTATCTATTTCTCAACAAATCTCAAATATAATTAACAAAAAGTTGGATTGTTTTATCCAAATTAATGTGATAATTATAGTAACATTCCTTTTTCTCTTTTTGGAGAAAATTGAACAACGGGATAATAGTTTTAATTTTCTTCATAAATATCTAATGCTATTAAAGCCTTTTGAAAAGGAAGAGATGAATCAGGTTTACGTTTTGTACCAAATAATAATCTTCTACAAGAATCTTAACACATAGAGTTTGGATTTTCATAAGGATCTATCATCATTAAACTTAAAATTTCTATATAAAGTGCTTAATCCTCTATATTATCTTCAGTTATTGGCTATAATTCATTAACCCATTTTTTTATACTAGTTTTTGTATCACTCATATCTGTATAACGAACACTCTCTTTAATTAAATTGGAAACATGTTCTCTTTAATGTTTTAATTATTAAAGCAAGAAATCTAAGATACTTTCTTTATTCATTTCCAAACTTAAAACATAATTACTTGTCTCTGGATTACTTTAAACACATAAACTCAATACAGAATAGATTTCTTAAATACAATTCATTCTTTAGGATTAAGTTACTACTGGATCTAATTTCATCTTAGCTATTTTTGATGGACTTTTATCTTAAATAGATTTAGTATTATCTCTTAGATTTCCGTATATCATACAATTACACAATCTTTAAATTGCAAAAAGTAGATTAATAATATCATTATCCATTAAAGCCTTTTATTTACTTTATTATTATTCATTTGATTAAGGTTTTCCTTCATTTGTTAAATACATTTTAAGATTATCCAAAGTTTAAAAGAGTTATAATATTTCATCAAATAATAATTTTTGATTATTAAAAGCTTCATAATATTCATATTTTCTTTTTTCTTCTTAATTTTATTCTATAGATTTTACTATTCCCCAATCCTATAAGAATATATAAAATTTAATTAAATATTCTTGAAGTGAATTAAGTCTAGATGATATTTTAGAAAGATCTTAAGTAGTTTATTTAAATAGAAAAGTTGCTCTTTCAATATTTTATTTTTAGCTTTTTCTTTACACAGTCACTTTACTTTCATCTAAACAAACAATAACTACACTTTCTTAAGCAATATAATTATCTATTGAAAAATTCATTGCAGATTATATTTTACAAGCTTCACTATAAGAAATAGAATCATTTGATGTTTTTTTTGATTTTAAATTAACTTAACATTCCATTTTTAATCCATCATATGTTAATCCAACTCCTTAATTTGTTATATGTAAAAATAATCCAGTACAAACATGTCTTACTAAAAATACACTTTCATAAGTTGGTCTTGAATATATTAGACTATCAACATGCTAAACTTACCATAGAGAATTTAAGTTTTCATCTGCTTTAGGTGTAGTATCAACAAATAATTAATACATTTAATTAATTTTTTCATTTCTTATTTTATCAACATCAAAATAGTATTGATTAATTGAATAATTAATATTAGTCTCATAATCTTTAATAATTAATGGTTTCTTATCTAATCCATCAGTTATTCTTTATATTCTCTTAATACATAAATAACCTCCCAAATATCTATTTTTTATAGTTACAACATCACCACTCTATAAATATTTTCCCTTTATTTATTATTTATTGATTTCTTCTTCTGTTTTATTATCAATATAACTTGAAATTTTTAAAGGATAAGCTTATTCTGATGCATTTACTTCAAGTCCATCTTTCCTTTCAAATTTTAAGGATGGTTTTTGTATACCTAAATTCCATTAAGATTAACTTGAATTTTAAACAATAATTTAATCTCCATACAAAATTGGTTCACCTGGATTTTTTACAGAATTCATAGATAAAATTCTAAAGTTTGAATTTAAATTTGGTTCTTCTTCTAAAGATAGTTCTCTACAACAATTTTCCTTAGCTAAAATATCACTATTCAGAGAAAGTGTACATCCTGAATAAATATGTAATAATTATATTTCTTAACCATAAACAATATTAGTTCCATAAAGATGATCGTATAATCTTTAATTTTCATTTATTTCTTCATCACTCTTTTTTTGAAATTCTTCTAATCTTTTATCATAATCAGAAGTCAATTTATCAATTTCCATTTAGTATGTCTCATCTGCAGCAATATCTCTAATTGTGTCAATAGGTTTCTATTATTCTTCCTTGTATTAATTTTAATATAAGTATTTTTTGCCTGTGATGATTTAAAATAAACTTTTTTAGAATGATAGACTGCCAACTTTGCATTATAGGCTTTTTTGAGATTAGACGTCTTATAATTTATTTTTACCTAATATCTGAATACATTCTAATTTATTGCTTGCAATTCCATCACCAGATATCACTCCTTTAAAATCATCACTCAAATAGGATTTAAAATAGATTATGTCACCTACTTTCAGATTGAAGTTTCGCCTTTTATATAAATAACTATTTACTTTTAATGCTTAATATTCTCCACATTTTAAGGTAGAGATATAAAATTATGAGTTTGAGCAATGATATTTTCAGCTCCAAGTAACGATTGCTTTCTTAAATTTGGAATAGGTGGTAAGTCAGTCATTACTAATAATTAATTTATAATATATATAATGTTAGATTATATTTCGACTTAATCACAAAACTCTTTTAAATTATTAATTTATATTGATAGAATCATAAACTATTAAAACAATGACATTATAAAATTATGATATTATTTTTTATACATCTAACTGTTAGAATTAGAACTTTTTATTCTTATATATTTTATTAATTATTCATAAATTACATTTAATATTATATATGATTATTGTAATCTTTAACTAAATTATATTCTCCATCTGTATTCAAGATTGTTTCAACATTGTTGTTATATTTTAAGTTTCTTATGAATATTATGAAACTGTTTGTTTTTTTTTTTAATTAAAAGTAATTCTAATTTTTCATGAAATCTTAATGAATTCAATTAAATATCAAAATACATTAATTTACACAATTTATATTAAAAAAACTAAGAATTTTTAGAGGAATACAAAACAAAACAAAATTTAATCGAAAAAATAAAATAAAAATAAACTAATGAAATTTTGATTCTTAAACAACTATTGATATAACATAGATTATAAAAATTATATATATCACTGATATTATTAATAACCATATCTCTTTAATAATTTTCTTAAGGTATACTTACTCTTTTTTTTAAATCATTAATGTAGATAAGAAATACATTCTAAATTAGATTTACAATCAGAAGATTCAATTTATTTAAATTCCATTTATAAAATAGCTAGTTAGAATTAGTCAATACTCACTAATGACATTTATAATGTATGATAATTTAAAATAAATTTATTATTTGAATTTATTTGCCTTATAAATGAATGCAGGATAATAAAATAATATGAAAATTAATGAATTAATATTTAGTGTAAAAATACAAAAACTTTGAGAAATAAACTTTACAAAATAAACGACTCTATTTTAAAATTAATTATCTTAATTTATAATATATTTTAGTATTGAAATAAGAATTTAATAATAAGTGATATTAGAATTATATGAAAGCTAAATATCTTAAGTATTCAATTATCATTTAATATAAAATTATACAAAATAATATATCTAATGATAATTGATTAGATAAGGTTAATTGATTTAATAAATATTATGATTATAATTAATAGTAATATTGTAATTATTTAATAGTTAAATAATTAAAATTTTAATGATTTGCAGTTTTCTCAGTTAATTATTAACAGATTATTATAAAATGAGTTAGTATCGATATTTTTGAAAAATTTGACATCATCTTTGATTTATTAAATCATTAAATTACTTTATATGAAAAAACTTGAATATATTACATAATTCTTATTTGATATTATTCATCATGTTTTAAAAAATATTGATAATTTTTAATAGTAATATAGAATATTTTCAAAACTAAAGAACAAATATAAAAAATTATGATTTTAGGAAAAGAATTAAAGAGTTTAAGAGTTATTTTATTCTTAGCAACATTTACATTAACATTTAGAATTACTGAATCAAATAATTATTAATTTAATGAATAATTATCAAATTACAACATCGTAGTGTTCCCCAAACAATATTTTAGCAGTTTGTGTTGTAATTAGAAAGCACTTTTTTAAAGACAGATAATATTATTTATCATTAACTTCTCATTCATTAACTTTGAGTGATGTAATTTTTGTAAGAATTATTTAAATAGGGTCCTAATTAAAAGTCTCCAAAATATACATAACTTTTGGGATTAGATATTGTGTTCACTTGGTTATTAGATTAACAAAATATTATTGGATTCACTTTAATTTATAGAGGAAAAGTTAAGGAATTTTATGGAAAAGCAAGCGACATGTAATATTTAAGAGAAAAAATGGGATAATTAGTAATATATGATAATATCAAAAAATTTTATATTCTGAATGAAAAGAATGAAAAAGGATCTTTTGGAAAAGTAAATTAAATTTATTTTTAGGTTATGTTAGGTATTTGTAAACTTTCTTAAAAGTAGGTAGCTATAAAATAATTAGAAATTCAAAAAAATTCATAACCAGTTATAAAAAATGAAATTAATATTTTAAGAACCATCTATAACTATTATTCATAGAATATCTTAGAATTAAAAGAAGTATTTAAAGATAAATAATCCTATTTTATTGTTACAGAGTTTATAGAAGGATATAATTTACAATAATTATTATCAACAAGAAAAACTCCATATTCTTTATAAGAGTCATTATACATTGTTGAGGTATATTATATTAAAAAAATATTTATAGTAAGTATTGAAAGGATTAACATAAATTCATTAATCTCATGTAATACATAGAGATCTTAAACCTTCAAATATCATGTATAATTATAACAAAATAAAAATCATTGATTTTGGTCTTTCATGCTTTTGTGGTAAATAATTAGATGAATTTCCTAATTGTGGTACAACAGGTTATTGTGCACCTGAAGTCTTAAATGCATAAAAAACAATTTAATCATATAACTATAAAGTAGATATTTTTAGTCTTGGATGTATTTTCTATGAAATATTAACATTAAAAAAAGTGTTCCCATATAATAAAGAATAATCAACTTATTATTAAAATTAAAATTGTTTAATAAATATAGAAGAATAAGGTTAAATTTATGATTTAATTAAATTATTTCTAAAAGAGGATCCTAAATAAAGATTAGATACTTTTTAAGCTTTAAAATTAGTATAAAATTTTATAGAAATGAAGAATTTTGATGTAAATACATGGTATAAAATATAATTTGAGAAAGATAAATAAAGAAATAATTCTGATGAAAATTTTATTTAAAATTTGTCAGGTATATTTAAATTTTGATTAAATACTGGATATATATTATTAATTTAATTATATAAAAATAATCTATTAAATAAAATATTAAATAAAATATTAAATAAGCAATTGATTCTTATTTTCACTTTCTAATTTTATGTTCTAAACAAATATCTTATTATAATTATGTCCATATTTCATAATTTTCTCTAGATTCATGATTTATTTTGATTTATATTTTAAATTATTTCTTTTATTTCATTTTAAGATTTTCTCGATTTATCCTGATCATGAACTTTTTTTTTTTTGATATAAGAAACTACAAAAAATATAGATATATTTTTAGTGTGAATATAAAATATACTTTATTTTTTACTCAATTAATTTCTTGAAATTTTTTGTTTTTAATACATTATAAGCATATTCGGAACTCACATTAAGCACATTAAAAAGCAATTGGTTAAATCATGTCTTCTCCTTTTTTATCGCAGGCAGAACATCTAAAATCATCGTTTATTTGATTCATTTAATGTTTAGAAGGACAATAAGGTTTCATTGATTATTTTTCAAATTTTATTTCAGGAAACACACATTTATAACAAATAAAGATTAAACATTATTGACAATAATATCTACATGTAGTATTTGATTTTTGACATTTCAAACAATTCTTTTTCTTTTCTTCACCTGATGGTTTTTTCCAAAAACTTAATTTATGATTTTTTTCACATAACATTTAATTACTATCAATCAATTCTCCATTTTAAATGACTTATGCTTATTATTTTTATTATTAAATTTCATTTTATTATTTTCTTTATTAATCTATTCTTTCTATATTCTCTTTAAATTTCAATAATTTAGTTTATAGTTCAATTTATAATTTTTTATTTTCATCTTATAGAATTTATAATTATTATTTAGCTTAATATAATTAATTATTTCTTTCATTCTATTAATTTTTAATTTCTATAATACTAAAATTAGACTCTTGTTTATAATCTTAAAATTTCTCTTATAATTATCTTAACAATTATTAAAGTTCTAATAAACATTTATGACTCTTTAGTTCTTCCATAGTCAAATTTTATTTGCACACAAGACAATTTTAGGTTTAATAATAAACACATATATTTTTCTAAATAATTTAGAAAGATATACATGTTATTCTAGATTTGTTCTTTTTATGTTTTATCCACATTTACAAGAAACTTATTGATATGGACATTCTGACATATGTTTAATAACATTTTCTTAAGCCATAATAATTTTACATCCTTCTTTATAGTTAATACATTGAAATTATATTTTTGATAGTTAATCTCTAATAATACGATGAGGTTATTTGGTTGTAAAGGGTCTAATACAATTTTAATCAGGGCATCTCAAAGTTATAATTAGATATACTTATCATATGATGATTTAGAAATTTGATAACATTCTTTACAATAAAGATTTTCACAATTAGTACATTCAACTGGATCTATTGTGAGATTATTGCAAATTTTGCACAAGAGACTTTAACTAAATGTTCCTATTGGTAGGTAAAATATTCTTTAACTAGATTACATTTTAATAAATAAATAAATAATATATCATAGTAAACTAGTGTTCACCTATAATATAAATATGCTTCAGCTTCCAAACATTTAAATCTAGATTAATTGCTAATTTTTTGAAATTTGCCTAACCTCCTTTCACAATCATTAATCTTAGCTAGCAAACTAGATGGTTATTCGAAATCCAACGATAGATTACTTTAATCAATGATACTTCCATTTAATAGCAATTTATTTTAAATAGCCTTTACTTACTTCTATTTAATTTAGTCTTATAAGTTGATATTGAAATAATTCAATTTGTTTAAGTAGTCATAATCAAATTTTAATGTTTCTAATGCTTTTTATAAAAGTTCTTCAGGTGATAATAATATGGATTGCATGTCAGGTGATAATGCATCTCTATTTAATAATTTATCTATAGTAGGATCCAATTCAGGATCAACTCCTAGAATAAATTTAGAGATAATTAATGATTTAGAGATATTTCTTCTTAATTTAAAATGATATTCAAATTATGAAATATCATTTGGACAATTAGGTTTAATTTCTTTAAAGAATGTATGAATGATTTTTCTTAATTTATAATAATAAAACTTACTTGCTTAAACCTTGAGTCTTTAAAATAATTTTTGTAATGGTTTTTTCTATACGAAATATTTGTTTAAGAATCTCATAGTTCATAATTACTTATTCAATCATATATTTAGGATCTTATACTTAACGATTATTATCTAGGATCAAATCATTAAAAGCTATTTTATCATCTAAAACATATTCACATAAAAGATTTCTCAATGTTTTTTCTGTTTAAAGCTATTAAATTTAGATTAATAATTACATTAGGTCTTCTTTTTGGACTTTCTGTTCTACTCAATTTCAATAAATTGCTTGAATTGAGATTTAAAGATTTTCCATCATTCAACTATTCTTAAAGTGCTCTTTTAATCTCTTATATTCTTGGAGATTATCCATTAATAGATCTATTTTAATAAAATGCTTAATTCCATTAATCTAAATCATGTTGTCTTTTTGAGATGTTATGAAATACTTTAATCCTCTTTTTTGTTTTATTCAATTATTCTGTTTAAGTTTTTTGTAAATTTATTTTAGGAAGTGCTTAATTAGATTGTGACATCTCTATAGGTTTTATTGGTGATGAAATTCTTTCTTAATATGATTCTTCTTTTTATTTTTTTCTTGCTGATGATTTTTATAACGTAATGAGTTCATCATGTAAAATTTAAGAAACTGATCGACTCTTAATTAGCTATTACATTGGCATATTCATACAAAACACTTTTTTCTATCTTTGCACTGGTAATGTTTCAAAGGTTCCAAAATCTTGATCTTAAATATATTTTAACATTAGCAATGCAATTAATTTATTATTAAATAAACTATATCTATAAATTATACTGTATTCAATTCAATTAATATATTTTAGTTATCTTATTTCTCAACAATAATTCTATTCTTTTGATATTTTCAATAATTTAAACAAAATATAATTTTATTTGAAGAGAACACATATTTGGATTTAAACAATATTTGTATAAATTACTTTAATATATAGAGTAAAAATATAAAACAAAGAAATTAAGTAAATATAACTTAGTAGTTGAATTATTTATATTTCGATATTTATCATATTAAATTAGTTATATTTATAATATAAATCCTATTTATTCATTTGCATTCCAACAAAATGGATAATAAAAAATTAATTGACATTTTTTATAATAAAATTCTCTCTATATTTATAAAAGAAATTATAAAACTAATATTGAAAAGTTATCGAATAAAAACTATTTTCAAGAATAAATATATATCTAGGTTAAAGATATACAAAAAAAATATCCTTTAAATTAATTCATATTCATTTTATAAACATAGTTGATAATAAATAATTAATCTATTAAGATTATTATCTGTTGTTTTTGTATATTTTATTACAAATATTGTGCACTTATCTAAATTATAATTTAACACTCTATATATTTAAAAAAAATTCTTTTTATCATCTATCTTATGTAAGTATATCCTCTAATAATTGATGTTATTGTTTAATATACAAATATAATTTTCAACAAAAACATAATTTTTCAAAGTGTCATAAATTTTGTTTATTAATAATGAATTCTATTATTGATATAATAAAATTCATAAATTCTTCTCTTTTTTGATATATCTTTAAGTTATTAAATGGATTAGTTAATTGTTTTAATTATTAATATTTTTCAATTAAATATGAATAATACTCTTTAAATACTAAGTTTAAAAGGAAAGAATTCTTAAATTGTTTTATATATAATAAAATTGAATTCATTATTTAGGACAGATGCCATCTCTATTTGTACTACAAGGATCATCATTTTAAATTAATTCATTATAAAAGATATTATTGAGATTTTAATTTTCATATTTATTAAAAAAATTAGAATATAATTTATCTTTCATAATGTGTATGCTTATACATAATTAGTTTATGAATATTGAAAAAGAATTTTCCATAAAATAATAAATATTATTGACATAAAATTTATTATGAAAAATTATAATTCTTATCACTAATATAGGTAAACAACAGTTCCATCTGAGGCTTCATCAGTTAAATCCTAAGTGACTATTTAATCATATTTAACTGCATCACCTGTAATTATATTAGAAATCTATAAATGATTAGAAATAACGAAACTAAATTATTCGATCATCTTTTAAAGTTTACTAAGAAATGAAGTAAGAAATAATTTAGAATCAATAATGTAAATTATCCTTAAGATTTGAATAAATCCATTTATTGATGGCTTCACAGAAGCTATTCTTACATTTATAAAAAATGTAAGCTTTTTATAATAAGCAATAAAAATAAGAAGCATTTCAATTGATTCTACGATTAGGTGCAATAGATTATAGCAATAGCAGTAGTATATTTAAAACTCCTTAGAGAAGTCATTCTCCTGGGATGGTTTCCAAAGATATAGGGTAATAATTATTATTAAATAATATTAGAATGGAAAAGAACATTCAAAATTAATAATTAATAAAGATAATCTAAGAATTGTAATCTCAAATTGCTGGTAAGGAACTTTGTAAAACGATATATTTAATTTAAACTAAGATAATGAGAGATAGTTTATACTAAATAAAATAACAAATAAAATTATCATAAAAATTTGAGAAAATCAAAAGTATTTTGGAGGTCTCCTCAAAACGATTTGCGTTAAATGAATTGAGAGAAAAGAAAAATAAGAGCAAAAAGATTGAAGCTGCAACTTTACTATTGGCTTTTAAATTGGAGAAATTCAAATTGAACATTGAATTTACTTTTTTTTACCAACTTAAACTATCATAGATGAAATAATAACTAATTACAAAATAATAGATCTAATTAAAACTAAATGGATATAATATGGGAGAAAAAAACGAAAACATAAAATTATTAAGATTACATCAGGTTATTATAAAAGTTTGTTACAGATTTCCATTTAATTAATTAAAAAAAAATTAATTTTAATACTAATAAATAGAATTAAATTAAAGGAATAGTAGCTCAATCTAAAGATTTTCATTGGGACAATTATCACAATAAGTATCATAAGTTTTGGATGCGACACCAAAAAATGATGAACTAATAATTGAAGAATAAGAAATATATTAATAACCAGTTGTTGTCTAAAAACCAAAATCTATTTAGAAAGGCAATGGAAAATTAGCTAAACAAATAAAATTATATAGTATGAATATATATAATATAAATAGTTAGCAAATGTGAGGAGTAGAAACAACAAGTTTAATAGTAGAAACTTGAATAAATGGCAAAATCATCAAAAAAGAATATTTAGGATGAATTAGAATAGAAAAAATAAAAGTCCAAATCTAAAGTTTAAAGTAGGTTATTTTTAGTGGCAATATTTGTATTTGTATTAATTTTTTTATTTCATATAATAAATTGAAAAATTGAGAGTAATAAATTTAAAAAAAATATAACAATATATTGATAGATATTGAATTTTTAGGAGTCATAATGTAATATCTCAATAAATACTGAGTTATCATTTTAAATAATCGACATCTCCACAACACATCATAATTAACACCTAAGCTTCATGAGTTTTACTTTCTATCAGTTTTCGTATCCTCTCAATCGGAATTTCTTAATCATAATTCATCTTTACTGCCTATATAATTACATTTAAAATATCACATCAAAAATTGATCTTGTAACATATTCAACCATATTTGGTACACTTAACTCTCCTGTAGAATCTTTTAACATTTCTTCCATCATAAATATGCATCTTTTTTTAATTTCATCATAAGACAAAGATCCATTTTCATTTTCATCTATTAACTATAATATTTTAACATTATAATACTTTTAATATCAATTCTATTTTATTGTCATTTCTTTTTGCCTTGATTAAATTAATAGCTTTTAAAAACCCTTCAAAAGTCAAGGTATTTTATTTAGCAAAAAACTTAAATATCTGATCAACAACTCCAGGAGGTGCCATTGATAATTCTTCTAAACCAGCATTAAAAGCTTCCCTTGAAATTCCATTTGGTATCACTTCATAAAAAATAATAAAATTACTTTATTTAGTTAATCCTGGTATTTAAGAGCATTCATAACTAAGCAATGCTTTATACCTACTATAAACCTCATAAATTTCTTATCTATCAAATCCTGTTTCTTACATTAATAAAGGAAGATTATAATTGGTCATATGAGGAAGCTTTCTAGCAATATGATCTGGGATGTTAGTGTACTAATTTCTGTTATCAATAAATAATTATACTGATTCTTTTATTTGATGGATTATTATTTTAATATCTCACTATATTAAGTTTTAAAATTTGGTAATTTAAGATCTAATAAAGTATTAATTACTTACATCTACTAGAGGTTCTCTTTTTACTGGGATTGTAATATCCCTCTTTTTCTAAAATTTATTAAAATTCAGAAGGTTTTGGATATGTAGTAGCAATAGTAAAATCTCTTATAGTCTCTTTTTCTATTTCTGATTAATTAATGATTCTTTCTGAATATAATTAATGTTCAGGTTCATCAATTAATTTTTATTTTTGATGGTCATAAACATGAATACTCTTATAATATTCTTTCATGGCCTCACTATTTCGTTTCATTGTTAATAGAGTTTCATCAGGAACTAACTCTTTAATTTCCATATAAGTATAAAATATGTCTTTATCAAATATAAATTTTTAAAGATCATTGATATCATTGATATTACTTACAATTGTCAAAAGTTTAACAAATTTATCGAGAGTGAATTACAAATTATGATAATTTAAGATTACTGTCCAAAAGTCCTTATTTACAGTATTACTTAATATTAATGTATTGCAATTTAATGGAATTTCCTCTGTAAACTAAATGATCTCATAGTTGCCCAAAGATAATTAATTATAAAATTTAGGAACATTTAATCCTATCTACATCTTTTATAATAGATTTTATCTTGTTTGATAAATATCTTATTATTTAGTCTGTAATTCTGTTCTTTACATTTGAATGACTTTAAATTAACTCATATCTTAAATTGATCCTTTGAAAACAAATATAGACTAGAGATTTGTTTATAGATTGATTTCATATGAACTCATTCCCAAACGGGTTGTAGAATGTTTCTTGAGAAAACATTTTGATTTAATTCTTAAGGTTGGTATCTTAAATGAATAAGCAATTCTTTCTGATGATGATATATTGATTAAGGAAGACAATTTTTCTTTAGGTGGTGACCCTATTTAGGATAATTAGGTTGGAATATATGATTAAGAACAGTTTGGACTTTTTCCTTTTAATTTTGGACTATATCCATTATAAGTTAATTATTGTTTAGCAGCATTTCTCGAGATTCTTAAATTTTAGTATGTAGGTTATGTGAGAGCATTCAGTTTCAGCTAATTAATATTTTTAGTTGTCATATAAATTAAAAAAATTAAATGTCTAATGAAAAAAGAACATCAGCTGACTTTTTTAAATAAGTTTTTGGAAGAACAGTGAATGTGAAATTACATAATCGAACAGAATATATAGGTGTTTTGGCTGCTTTAGATGGAAATATGAATCTTGTTTTGGAATAGTGGTAATCTTTAAAATGATAAAATAATAGTGAAGAATATTTAGAATAGAAGCTTATCAATAAATATGGATAAATATTATTGAGAGGAAATAATGTACTTTATATAAGTGCTAAATTTAATCAAAAATAATAATAGGAGGAAGAAATTTGATTAATTATATGTATATTTTATTTATTATTATATGGATTAAGAAATAAACCATTTCAATTTACCTGATATAAGAGATATGGATGATTCAGATGATTAAGAAGATTATAATCCATTTATTTATCATCATTAATAAGAAGGATATCATTCATTTGAAAAAATATTTTAGAATCATTTTGATATTGTAAATAATAGATGGATTACAATACCAAGATCAAAAATCTATTTACTTAGATCAGCTATGCATAAATTAAAAAAATGGATACTTTATATAAGACAAGAGCATCATATGATTAAATCTATTGTTAAATAAAATGATGATCTAAAGACTCAATTAAAAAAGAACCAAGAATAATATTCTAATCATTATCTTGTTGAATAATAGAGGACAAATCAAGTATTTCTAAATAAATTATTACTAAGTTGTATGAGGAAATTAGGAAAATAAGATAGGAGTTAAAAGATAAAGTCATATAAATGAATGATCAAATTTAATAACTTAAAGATATAATTGCTGAAAAAGATAAAAAGATTTAAAGATAAGAATTAACAATATAAAGATTAAATGAAGTAAGTAATGGATATGAAAATCAAAATAAAGGTTTACAATAACAAATAAATAATCTCTAAAAAGATTTTACATTTTTTAATAATATAAAAAGGTAAGGCTTCATAGATGAAAAAGCATTAATTGGTGGTAGTATGACAACTTTTGAGTTGATTTTAGCATCAAAAGTTAAAAGTAAGATATTATAATTTCTGTCCTTAAAGGATTATCAAAGTCTAATGATTTGTAATCGTAAACTCTATCTTTCTTTAATATCGCATAATACAATAATTCCACATGCAATAAATTCCCTCAGTTCCAAATTAAATCATTAATACAAGTTATTACAAAGTGTAAATGAGGAATTCAAAGTATTCAAATTAAAAACATCATATAATAGAGTGTTATTAAATAGAGTGATGATCCAAAACTTAGAGAAATCATGATAAAGTAATTTGAATTAAAAGTTAATTTCTCTGAATATATTATTCCTACTTTACGTGAATGTTAATCTTTAATAGATGGTGATAATTTTATAGGTTTAAAGAATAATTAACATAATAAAGATTGTAAAATAAATATCATTTAAACTTCTAGTGATGGATTTATTAGAGGGTTATTTAACTTAATAATCATAAAGTTATTAAGCAGCATTATAGAGTCTGGTATAAGAGAAATTTCCTTGGAATTAATTCTTTCCAAAACCCTAATCTACTATTTAATAAGTTTAATTATAGAGAAAATAATTTCCAACATCTTCATAAATGTTTGCTTAATAAATCATCACTAGATTGTATGATCTGAGTACAGTGTGTGCTCAAGATTCTTCAATATTTGGGATGTTTTTATCATAATTATAACGATGTTTAGCATCATTATTTGTTTATGGATAACATTTGACTTAAGAAGCAAATGATTTACAGTCACTTAATTATTATATTATGACAAAATTTTTCTTTCTGTTAAAAGAAAAGAAATAAATTGAAGATAAATATGAAGATTTTAAAACTTAATTAGGATTATATTCTGATGCAAAAAGATTTTTAAAGTATATTTATTATATAATATTTAATATAGTGAAAAAGTAAAAGATTTAGAAAAGATTATATTAGATAAAAATGAAAAAATAAGTAGTTTGAATCAATAAATTTATATGAAGGAAAGTTAATTAAAATAAAACTAAATTATGGTCTAAAAAAATAATGAATCTATTAGATTGTATTAAGATAAACTTAAAATCCTGGCCAGAGAAGTTATGGAAGTAAGAAGAAAATATAAAAATACATGTGTGGAATATAATTAAATAGTATCAAGGTTTAATTTATTAAAAATTTAATTAGAAAAAATGGAAATGCATTAAAAAAATTGAGTATAAAAATTATATTAAAAAAAGTATCCTTTATTTAAAATAAAATGTCTTCTTCAAGTTCGTCAAGGTCACGATCACCAAAGAAGAATAAGAAAAGAGTATATGTTACAGGATATTCTCTTAAAGAAGATCAACATGACATTAAAAAACTATTCAAAAAATTTGGGAAAATTGAAGAATTTGCTTGGAAAGGAAAATATTGTTTCATTGTACATATAATGAATTAATTGTAGGAATTTAAAGACCCAGAAGATGCAGAGAAAGCTGTTAAAAAAATGAATAAGGAAGAAGTAAAAGGATCTGTGTTATAGGTCGAGATGGCTCGTGGAAATAAGCCGAGCAAAAATAACGGCCTATGTTATTCATGCGGTCGCTCTGGACATTTGTAAGTTTTACTATAGCATTCACTTTTTATATAATTAGAATACGATATATTTTTTATTTAATTCATTTACCATTTTATTAGCGCTAAAAACTGTAGACATAGATCATCATCATCAAGTTCATCTAGCTCTAGTAGGTAAAGAATTAAACATAATAATTTTTAGTGAGTCTAGAAAAAAACATAAGAAGAAACATAAAAAAAAGAAGAGCTCATCCAGTTCAGATTCCTCATCAAGTAGTTCATCTAGAGATAAGAAAAAGAATAAGAAGAAGAGTACAAAAAGGAAATCAAAGTCCTCATCAAGAGGCTCTTCAAAAGACTCATAACATTCAGAGTCTTCTGCCGGCTCGTACTTTTAAAGTTGAATTCTGTTTAGCATTATTGACGAAAAAAAAGAAGAAAAAAACCCTATTGAAGAAGAGAATCAAGGAAAAGAAGGAGATGGTAAGTAATGAAGTACCCGTGATGTTATAAATAAAGTTGGTGTCCAATAATATTCTTATTTTTAATATTATCAAAATTTATATTAATTAATATATGTTTTATTATTTATTTAGATAAGCTTGTATTTCTTTGAAAGTTAATTCAAAATTTTATACTATTTATCATAAAATAAATAATTATTCCAAACTATTGTAAATCTCTTATCTCTAATAATTAACAAAATATATGAATAATTAATAATTTCCAAAACATTTATTTCAGATATTTAATATTATATTAGCATATATGATGATAAATATATCTTGTAACATTAATTATGTTAGATTCTTTAAAATTAAGATTGAAAGCAAAATTGTTAACTACAATTATTATTAGAAATTATATAATTTAATGTTTCATAATTCATTTATTTCAGATTCTATAGGAAAGTATAAAAAGTTTATTTTATTTAAACTAATCATTTTTATTCATTTTTTTAATAAAATATTTCATAGATTAGATAGATAGTTTGCATATTAATTTATAAAGCTTAATGTTATTTTCAAACTCCACAAGCAAATATATTCACTATACAAACAGCATCATCACTCTCTTGTTTTAATGCAACAGATCCATCGGTATTATTATCCCAATAACAAGAGGCTGAGAGATTGATTCCACAATCAGCTTTTTAAAGTATAAGACAACTAACAATGAATTTAAAGTGTTTATTATTTAAGTCTTTCAATTTTATTAAGATTGTGTCACATATTGTACTACTTTTTTTCTAAGATTCATCAACATTATTGTAAATATATTTTTTTATTTCTTGATCAAGTATTCCTTGAGCTACTTTAGTTACTTCTGCTTTCAATTGATTATTAAAAACATCTTCTTTTTCAAAATTAGACATAATTTTGATTATTTCTATTATTAATTATAATTAGTTTATCTCTTAATGCAATTAATTAAATAATAAAATTTAATATAGACTAATTCAAAGAAAAAATAACTAAAGATATTATCATTTGTTTCTAAACATCACAAAAGCATGATGATTCAATATCTATTTGATATTTATAATTAAAATATAAGTAAAAAAGTCTTTAAATTAAATTGAAATGAAATCATCTTATTTATTAAATAACTATTTCAAGGAATCAAATAAATTAGCTTAATCATTATTTTATTTATTAATTATATTATACTTAAAATATCTCATTTTATACCGATCAATTCGGAATTAATATAAATATCAAACCCATAATTTTAAACTTTTGCTTTTTATATATAAGAAAAATTTGATTATTGAAAATAATCAATAGAAATATACCGTACCTTACTAAGAAGAATTTTAGGATAGCAAGAAGTGCACTTTGAAAAAAGAATTGATATTAATTATATGGATGCATTTATAAACGCTATCTATATACCTATAAAAATTAAAATTGAAATATTTATTCGGATTCTAAGTTCATTTGTAGATGGATTTCTCAAAATAAATACAAGAATATATATATTTTAAAGAAAAAGTGTTTAGTATTAAAGTTTTTGAAGAATGGCATTTTAGAGTTTAGAAAAAATCTTTTGGATGCGTGAAACTGAAAAAAGAATTTTAACACTCTATATGTCAGAAAGATCTTTTGTGTTGTACCAAGTTTGTTAAATTATTTCTCCAATTATTCGTTTAGAAGATTATTAATACCTTTATACTATTTAGAATACAAAATTTATTAATTATTGTTTACCATATTATTTATATGTTTATGAAAATGCTTTTCATTGAAAAAATGGAACATTTACTAATTACTATAATAATTTTAGAAATTTTGCCTGATTCCAATGAGATTGATATTCTAGAAAGTTTTAGTTGTTTTCTCATTTTAATATTAATAAAAATGTCACAATTTGTTATGAAATAAATAAGATTTGAATAACAATTGAAATTTCTTTAGAGTTTTCAAGATTTTCTTAATTGTCCTTATAGTGAAGTGTTTTTTCTTATAGGAACTTTAGAATATGTATTATTATTTATATTGAAATTGTGAAGTCATTTTAGATTTACCAATCTTTTTAAATTGTTTATCTATTGTTTATAGAAAATTGATTCTTTAAAGAAAGTAATTATAATTAATAATATATTAATAATTATAATGGAATGTAGAAATTCAAAAATATTTAGGAATATAAGAATTATATAATCATTAAGATTTTTAATTAACTAAATATTAAGATTTTTAATAATTAGAATTAGAAACTTAAGATAAAAATTGCTTTTATAGGATTTACTTTTTATAATAGGATATTTTATTTACTTTATTATTATTTGGAATATTATATTTGGAACTTACCTCTTTATTATATTATAGTTTTATTTTAGCTTACTATTATTATTTAAATGATATAATTGAAATAAAATTATGCTTTATTTTAAGTATTAAGTGATTATATTGTAAAATATTAAAAAAAGTGTTTCTTTTTGATATTTTATGATATAATAAATTAGTGTTTATTATAATTCATAAATTTTATGAAATTAATCATTATATTACTTTTGATCACCCTGCAATATTTATTAGTTATTTTATGTATGAATTTTTAAACAATTGAAGTTTACATAAAAGGTTTTAGTACGACTGATGTCCAACAGAAACTAATACTGAGTTTGTTGAATTCTTGAATTTGTTTAAATGATATTAAATCAAGTAGATTACTTTATAATAGGATTCCAAACTTTGTTTCTGTTTCAAGCTTATTTTACCAATATCTAGTGCTAGTGCGCTATTAAATTTACTATAATACCATGGAAGAATAGAAAAATTTGAAGAAGAATAAAGAACAAATTGAAAAAGAATGTAGTTAACTTAATTTTAGGATAAAATTCTATGGAATTTGAAAGAAGAGAATTAAAGAAAAAAAAAGAGAGATGAAAATAAAAAAGAAAGAATCTAAAATTGTTTTACATTGATATCTGATTATTGGATTTTTTAGATAAAAGAGATTTTTAAAGATTTGAGAGACTAAATCATAATTGAAAAAATACAATATCAACTAAATTTAGATATTTGACGTAGATAGATTATTATTAGGCTACGTCCCTTGAGTTATGTGCTTTATCAAGATCCTTGAATTATATCTAAAAATAAAAGATAGATCTGAAACTAAGATATCATAATTAAATTGAAGTAGATAAATTAATTTTAGGTTCAAATCATAATGTTTGATTCTCAAGTTGAACTCTTAAAAATCTAAAGAAATAAACCATATAAAAGATTTGAAAACTTTTGTTTCTCTTTAAAGAAGAATTAATTAATTTTAAGTAACTAACCTTATTTTAGATTCCTCACCTGATGTATGTTTTGTAGAATTTGATTAATAAATGTCATATAGATTTCTAATAATTCTAAATATAGAAAAATTGAAAAACCTTTATAATGGAAATGGATGTTAATCAAAACTATCAAAATTAAAAAGCAATAGATTCAGAATCAATTAGAAGAATTCAATATAGATTTCAAGAAGATTTAGCCTTTAATTTATTAAGTAATGGATTCTATAATAGATTCACTGAGTGTAGTAGTTAATGGAAGAATTAATAGAAGATTTAAACTTAATTTTTTAAGTATTTATCATTACAAAATCAGAATATACATGTTGTAGTTGAAGATAAGATTCCTTGTAGAACCCAAAAGTCTTTTCCCTTATCAGATTTAAATTCTTTCTTTCCATTCCAGAACCTTAAGAAACTATAGACTAAGATCTACAGACCAACTAACCAAGGGACAGACAATTAAAAGATTCAGCTTTGAGACAAATTCTAGTGGCACTTTAAGATCCCAAATTTACTTAAGAGAGACACAATCCAGAAAGACATAGAGGTTTTCTACCTTGTTCTTTTCCAGTTGAGCCAAATAATGAATATTTCTTGAGAGCCAAGTGGTCTACCCTATGAGACAAGACTTAAGATTGAGAACAGCGAAAAACCTTATTACTAGTTACCAGAGAGAAACGACTATTTCAAAAGTCCCCATGATTCTCTTCTAAGAACTAAGTTTCTAAGATTTCCATTTGAGAATGATTCCACAAATTCCTGTTTGACTAGATGCCCAAGGTTCATAAATTCAGACTAAAGATTAATCTTTCTAAGAGCCCTTTTCCTTAATAATTATTAGACCAATCACGAAGATAAAATAATCTACTGTAGACCAATCTAAGATCCAACCTTTAAATATATCTCTTGTTGACCCAAACTTGTTGAGCCCCAAGATTTTTCTAATTTACTTAATGCAAAGACAATTTCCTTTTAATTTAAAAGAGAGTCCTTATACTTTAAGAGCCTATTCAATAAGATTATTTCTTTTTATTTACTAATTTTGATGCCATAATTATAGATCAGCAAGAATCCTTTTTAAGAACCTTAAGAAAACTTCGACAGAATTTATATTAATAATGCAGATGCTTATTTGTTATTTTAGTGCTTTTTTTGAATAATCGAAAATCCTTTATTTTTCTAGAATACTAATTGAAGTCCCATCCTTTAATTTCTTGATGACCCAATAGACCAAATGAGATGCTAATTTCTAAATATAATATTCTGAAATACCCTTAGATGAATGAGCCTTGTTAACTCTGTTTTAAGATTGCTATTATTAATTTGATGATGCCTTTTGGAATAATGAATTCCCATATGTCCCTCCTTGAAATAAAATAATAATTTGAGTTTGAAAGTGCGATTCAATTAAAGTGAAGCCAATCAAGTGTTGTGCCACCTATAATGAATTTAGCCACCAAACCAAATTGGAAGAGACTCCTCCAGAGATTCAATTTATGTCCAATGAATATTAATTCATGGAAAATTGATCCCTTCCCATAAATTTTATGGTTGCCTTAGAATTGTGTGTGTGAAATAACATCCCTCCAACACAATGATGTGTTTGATATATAAAAATCCTTTGGAATTTGCTAAGAGAACATAAGAGAAAGACAATAGATATGCCGATTTGAGAAACCTAAAAAAGAGAAGAATAGGGAAATAAATAAGAAGAGTAATAATTGGAATATGAACATGAATAAGAAGGAGTTAGAAAAGACAATTGAATGTATATTGAGAATAAGAATCTAAAATGGAAATAGAAATGGAAATGGAAATAGTATCAGAAATTGGATTTGGATAAGAAAAGAAAAGAAAAGAAAGAACATGAAATCAAAAATTATGCTTACAGGTAAATATTTATTAATAGGTACTCATATCATAATGAAATGAATTTGGCACAACAGAGTTGATTCAGAAAACTTAGACCACGAAGTGGAAAGAGAGATTTGGATCAAATTTGGATGTGAAAGTTTATACATTTGTACATAATTTAAATAAAACAAACAAAAAAAAATATCAATTTTCTTAATCATCTTTAAATTAACCTTTTTTCTTATTACTATTATTTTTGGCTGGAGTAGCAACCTGCCATTCAGGATAAGAAGAATCTCTATCATGATGCAAATAACTAGAATTCTTATAATAATATATTACATCCATATTTTTTTTTCTTAATCATATTTAACACATGGATCAGTAGATTAATGTAATCTATCTAAAGCTCCTGAAATTATAGAACTCATTTTCTCTTCTGGTAAATTTTCATTTATGTATTAAGAGTCTCTGACTAAATTAACAATATCTGCTCTTGTTCCAAATCCTTTTGGTAATCTTGCTGAAGCATCTCTTACAAGAGATAATATAGTAACATAAGTTGGTCTTTCATTCTTAAGTAATTCATGTTATCTTGGCTTTTAACTTGATCCTGATATTAATTTCTTAGCAACAGGAGCAACTGTTACTTTAGAACCATCTATGCAAGTAAAGGTGTAAGGTTGAAGGGGATTTTAATATCTTTCTCTTTCTTATTTCCAATAGAAATCTAGCCATTCTTTATTTGTTTATCCATTAGGAATGTTGGACTCTTAAAAGTTTTATGTTTGATTTTTATTCTGCAGTTTTATTGATTTTTTTGCTTACATCAAAGCCAAAGTCATAGCTGTTGTAGCAATTGATGTTGATGTTAAAGGTGGTAATGGAGTTATTGGAGTTATGATAAATAAGGATTATGCTGATGGTATAAACTATTATTGGATTTGAGGTTGAGGCTATAAAGAATATTATTGAATATTGGCTGAAGATTATGATTGAGATGTTTATGTTGAAAATCCATCATCTTCCAATTCTTCATTATCATCCAATTTCACTTATTTACTTATTTCATAATCTTCAGAAATTGATGATGGAGATCGTTAAAACATGATTCTTTTCTTTCTTTAAAGTGTATTCTAAATTCTATTTTAATCTTTATGAAAACAATCATAGAGATTTGAATAGTATTCATTTAAATGATTTTTTGATATTTTCTATTCTAATTTTTCACAAATTTCTTTATTTCTGGTAAAATATCCATTTTTCATTTTCTTCAAGAAAATATTTAATGGGCTTCCAAAATGAAAATTTTTATTTCCTTCTATCACATCTTAGAATAATTGTAAATCAGCTTCAGGTAATAGACAACATAAAGAATCAATTTCTTATTTTGTGAAATTCTCTACAGAAAAGACCTAATATAATAAATTATTATACATCTTCTAAAGAAGATAATGCTATCATGTTTAATGGAAATTAGTATTATTGACCTTTGTAATACAAAATAAGTTTGTCACCCTAAAATACTAGAAAATATTAAAACAATATTTACTTACTTTATTCTTCATCTTCTCCTTCATCACTTGAGAATTATTTAAAATTATCATACAACATTTCTAATAAATTAATCCATACAATTACATTATTCTACAAACTATTCTAAGTTCTTTTTATTGATTTAAAAAGTCTTTTGATAATGATCAACACGCGAATTCATTAAAAAATTTAGAATATAAGTTATTATAAAATCAAATTTATGGTTCCTTTGAATTTTTGACTTCATTAATTACAGAGATTATATCTATAATTTTGATTGGTTTTGATACAAAAGCATCAAACCCTTTTTATTGGCATTTCTCTTTTTCTTTCAAATCATCATATCCAGTTAATGCAATAATATAACTTTTTGGAAGGAGATTGTTGGTTTCCTATACTTGATTATATAATATCAATACCAACAATCGAATCTATTCTGTAGCTTCATATCCATTCATAATTGGCATGGTCAAATCCATAAATATATATTAATATCTTTGATCATTCATCATACCTAATTTTATTTTTTAAATTGCTTATTCTCCATTATAAGCTTCTTCAACTGTAATAAAATCATATTTTGTTAAAATTAATCTAAATGCAATTACATTAACAGGTGAATCATCAACAACTAAAATAGTACAAGGGTCTGGAAAAAGCATTCTCATCATTTCATCTATAGATTCTGTTATTTGTAAAGGTTTCCTTTATCTATTTTAGATTGCTGGTGATTCTGTACTATCAATATGATATCCTGGTGTATTTAAGGGACTATTATTATCTACTTATTTATTAATTTTATAAATTTATTTAGCATGTGTTATTTCACTACTTAATTCTAGATATTATTCTATATTTTTTGATTTAGAATGATCAGAATCTTCTACACTGCATAAATTAAATAATCCTGCTTAATTTTCACGTTTTATCAAAGATTTTTTTTAAGTTTTTTTTCTCTAAACCTTTCTTAATTAATATATAGAATTAGATAATTTTTTATCTTGAATTTCTTAAAGAGTTGATATAGTTTTTTTATTTAATTTTTTTTAATTTTGTAAAGAAGGTGCTAAAAGAGATTAATTAAAAATAGTGAATTATGATGTTAATAATTAATTAGCAGAATTTTAATCATATGACATTTATTTTGTATCTTATTTATAAAAAGTAGTCATTTCTTTTGAATTAGTAATTGTTGTCAAATTTCTTTAATCATTATTAATGTAAACATCAAAACTAAATTTAGAACCAATTCCAACTTGACTTATTAATTCAATATTATCAGTTGGTCCTAATAATCCTACTAATTTTTTACAAATAACTAACCCCAATCCTATACCATGTTTATTTGAACCATTATTAGTAAAATCAAATGTTCCATACATTTAAAATAATTTAGGTTTAATATTATCAGGTATACCTACTCCTGTATCTGAAACACTTATTGTAATTAGTCTAACTTATTAATTTTCAATTTCACTATTTTTATAATCAACAACAATATCTATTTTACCTTTTTCTGTAAATTTTAAAGAATTGCTTAGAAGATTCAATAAAATTTATTTAATTCGATTAGGATCAGAATACATCAATCTATCTCCAAATGTAATCTTTTTTTAAACAATAATACCCTTTTGATTTGCTTATAAGGATACTAAATCAATAATTTCTTAGACTATTGCTTAGATATAGAAAGTTGTATTAGTTAATCTTAAAGTGTTCTTTTGAATTCTAGAAAAATCCAATATATCACTAATCATATACAACAATAATTAAGCCCATTTTTTTAATATAATTAAATAATTAATTTCGATTTAATCAACTACTATTCTATAGAAATTATTAATATAAATACTATTCTAAATATTAAACAATAGCAACAATTCCATTAATGGGAGTCTTAAAATCATGTGACACACTTACTAAAAGATCATCTTTATATTAATCCCTTAATTTTAATTCTTCAATTTATTATTATTATTATTTTTCATATTAAGATTAGAATATTAACATAATGGCTGGTTATTATTCCCAAATAACTTCAAGAACATCAATATCAGCTGGAAAGTAATTTTTAATTTATTCTTTTTCTTACAAAGTAGGAGTGAATGATTCAAGAGTACAATGTTCAAATCGTTTTTTACTGTGATATTAATATTATCTTTTTTTTTAAAACTTTTTTTTATTTAAATAAGTCCCTAGACATTCTTTATTTGATTTAGATGTAATATTCTTGATAATTTAAGGAGTAAGTCCATAATAATCAATTTTAAATTAATTAGTCATGAACTTGTATTCTAATATTAAATTCATATCATACATTCATCTTAGATAATACAAACAGATATAGGAAGGGATTCTTAAAAGAAATCAAAAATTTGAGCAATCTAATATTTTTCTATGTTTGGTGTTTTATGCTTTAAATACAGAGCTTATTTATTAATTCAAATTATTACTTCGTATAATCAAGATCAAATATCCAAATATGGTTAGATATGCCAACGGTTATGAGTAAAAATGAGTCCTAAAAAGGAAATAAAAGAGGCAAAATGCAAAATAAATTACTTTTGATGTGTCAAGCAGAATGTAAGCACTTAATAAAAGTCTCATACTTAGATAGTAACCTAATATCTAATTTAGAAAATAGTTTTTACATCTTAATCCATATCTAATAATTCATTTGATAAACAGACACTTCCTATAAGCAAAACTAATAATATTTTCTATCCAAAACATCCAAATATCAATAGTAAATCTATTAACAAATAGTAATTATCTGTTTATTCAGTAACTCCATTATAAATTGCTAGTATAATGGATTATAAAATCAATGTGGCAATAATAATTATCATTTATTTTATTAAATATATATATATATACTATTCTTATTTCCAATCAAAGGCTATTCTCATTATAAGTAACTGAATCATGACTTATACTAATAATAATATATATATATATATATAAATATAGATCAAAAATAATATTTGCTGAGTATTTTTTTAAGTTGTTGTGTATCTATTGGTTTAGGTAATATATCATTCATTCCTGATTTATAAGCTATGTCAATATTTTCTTTGCTATCGAAAGCACTACACATAATAATGAATGAAACAATGTTCTTCTATTATAAAAACTATTAAATTTCTTTGCTGCATTAATAACCATCAATACCAGGCATATCTATATCCATGAAAATTAATTTATATCCACATTAACAAGAATCATACTTCTTTTTAACCATTTCAATAGCCATAATTCCATCATAAGCGCTATCACATTTTATATTAAAATATTTTAACACTGTAATGAATGCTAAATGATTAAAAGGGATATCATCTACAATCAAAACATGGCTGCAATGACATTATTTTTTGGTTTTACTTTAATATGGTATCTATATATATTCATCAGTTGGTATTGTAAGTATCTCTTCTTAAGTATTTAAATCTTATACATAAAAACGTCCTTTTGTAAATTAATTTAATGAACTTGTAATAATGAGTTCACCTTTATGACATAATTTCAATGCAATTTAACTTGAAACCTTTAATCCAAGTCCAACATATTATATATAATCTTCATCTCCTCTTTTTAAGATATCAGTTTCTTAATTTTGTAAGATTTTATTTATTAAATAGAGTTTTTCAACAGAAATTCCACAACCAGTATCAAACACTTCAAATGAATAAATTGATCCCATTCTATTAATATTGAATTATATTAATCCATTTTATTTAGTAAATTTTACTGAATTATTTAATAAGTTTACTAAAATTTAAACTATTCTATCATAATCATTATTTATTGTACTATCATCACAAGTTTAAACAACAAAATTAATTTATTTTTATTTACATTCATCTTGAAAATAATAATCTATTGTTTAAATTAATGTTGATATTTTAAATTAAGAAGGTCTTAATTAAAATGTAGATGCTTCAAAATTAGCATAATCAAGAATATCATTTATTTAATGTAATAATTTTCTATTTGAAATTATTGCAGGTTTTAAATATGCTTATTCAATTTATTTATGTTATTATAATTTTTCAGATTTTAATTCTTATTCTAATATTTATAAAAGTGCTAATGAACAATTTAAAGGAGTTTTTAATTCATGAGAAAAAGAATTAATAAGCATTGATTAAAATCTAAATCTTTCTCTTATTTCAAATTATCTTTCTTTTTTTGATATATTTTGAATACAAATCATACTACCTGAAGATATTTCATATATTTTTATTTCATATGTCTTTGTTGTAATAGGATCTCTATATTTAAGAGCATTTTAATTAAAACTATCAGATACTCCTCTATAAGTTTTATGTTTATTTATTATTTATGATATATCAATAAAATTACTAAATTATCTCTATTATGAGAGTGCTTTTTTTCTGGTTTAACTGAAAGATTATAATCTTTTCATTTAAAATTCAGATACCTAATCTTCTGAAGAATTAAAAATAGATTTCTTATCCAATTATTATAAACAAGCCCTAAAAATTAAGATAAATTTTACTTCTAAATCATCATAAATAATTAAGACTAAAAACTTTCTTCTTTGATATTTGAACAATATTTTTTTGCTTTATAATTAGAATTTGTTATGTTTTATTTATCATCTAAAATGCAAATTCCAAATGGTAAAAAATTAAATAGATCAAATACATCCTATTAATCTGACTATGAGTTTATATTAAGATATGATAATTTCCTTTCTGATGTTATCTAATTCTTACTGTTTAGTTATTTACTATCCTAAAAATAAATAATTTGATACATGGGAATAGATATAGAATATAAATGATACAAATAGAATTCCTAAATAAACCCAATCTATTATTTGGAAAACTTTGAAATAAATAAAACTTACTCGACAACAATAAAAGACCAGTATTATGATCTTAAACTTGATGTTAAAATTAATAGATGCAATAATTGGTGGTGCAAATTATTAATCAAAGAAACATAATTCTAAGAGAAGTAAAATTCTAATATATTTCCAAATCGAATGTAGATTCTTCTTTAACAAAATGATTAAAGTTATTAAATTGACAGCTGATATTATTATGAGATAGATATCTTAAGAGAAACTTGCAGTAATGAGATGTTTAAGAGCAAATAAAATTTGGATTCCTCTTCTACTTTTATATTTAATCATATTATTTAAATAATTAATCTGAAATATAATAAATTAACAATATTAAGATGAAAAATTAAATAATAAAAGAAATCATAATATCAAATGATAAATTAATCTTATTAAGATAAAAATACTTATAATTGTGTGAATGTTAAATCATTCTGGTAATTGTTAGAATTAAAATTATTCATCAGACATCTATCTACGTTTAAATTATTGGGCTGCTTAAATAATGATATGTCATTACATGAAAGCATTCTTCCAGTTGATCTACTTTCAAGTGATTTCCTAGCTAAATCATTATAATCTTAATTGAGTTCTAAAATAATAATAATAATTAAATATAACTTGTCCTCTTTAATATAATTTATTTGTAAATTTCATTCTTTTCATTATCAGGTTACCAATAATTTTTATTATAAATTGATGAAGCAGATTGTAATCGAGAGAGAAACTTTTGATTTTCTTAGTTAATTTTGTATTTCTCGAATTTTCGTTAATTAAGATTACTCACATGTGATAATGATAATGGTAATTATCCAGAACTCTAACTTCTTAAATTATGTTTCTAAATATCCATCATTTTAGATAACAATATATTATTTTGATGCATGATTTTATTATCTTCCTCTTTGTTAATTTTTATATATTAATTTACAATGACTATATTTGTTATTAACTTTAGATAACGAATGAGATGGTTTCCATGGTTCTCCATTATTGATTGTCTTTTTCATGTTTTTACAATTTAATAATAACCTCTCTTAATCAGAAACCAATTTCTTTTTCTAACATATTGGATTAATTGAGATTATATTCCACATTATAATTAATAAATTAATATATCAATCATCCAACTTACACATTTACATATTGTTTGTTTTTCTTTTTCATATTTTCTATTGCAAATCTCCATCTTCTACACATTATTATGCTGAATACTAGAAATATAATGAAAATTATAAATCCTAATATTAAAACGACTTCCACAAGTAATTAAGATTAAAAATCTAAAAATACTTCATTAATTGATAAATTCATTAAATGTTATTCTTAACAAATAACAAATGGATTTTTCTCTGTATTAATACATTAAGTGGAATTAATCACTATCATATAACTTTATTCAATTTAATTTTAAGATGAACATATTATTTCAGGATACTTTTCTTTAATACTCAAACCAAATAAATAATGAGGAGTAAGACCTAATTAATAATGTATTTTTTAATTAGAATTCTCTTATAAAATACCATTAAATTCTTGAATTTTTTCTAATAAAGGTATCATAAAATCAGTTCCATGATAAAAATTTTCATCAACAAAACCACGATAAATATTGGTTCTCACTAATTTATGTACATCATAACCAATTAATACTTTATATTCACCTGCTTCTTAAACATCTTTCAATTACATGTCTTCTAAATAAAATTTATTATAATAATATTCTTGATTTTTAAAGTTGATCAAAATCTCAATTCCAAATCTAACTTTATCTTCAGTCTATGAAACAACTAAAAATGAATTATTTTTATAAACAAATGATATTGGATATTCAATTGGAATTTAAAATTCTATTTTATTAATTATTTTTATTACTATCAATAATATAATTGTTTTCTTATAAAGAGACAAAATGAATTCCTTTCCTATCATCTAATATGAATAGATTATTTTCATTTGTTTACACTTTTATTAAATTATAGTCTAAATCAATAGTATATAGTTTCTTTAATTCTTCATTTTCAAGTTTATAAACAATAACTCCTTATGTACCAGCAACAACAAAAACCCTATTAGAAATTTCATCATAATGTAGATGATTAATGATTTTTAATGATTCAATTGAATGTTTATTTATTTTAGGTAGAGTGTTGTTTGTCCATTATTTTGAATTGAAACTAATGGCACCATTTTCAGATATTATAAATAATTAATCTCTTATTTATAAGAATCTAGGTTTCTTATATTAATTCACTTTTAAGTCTCCTGATATATCTAAATGTTGTTATTAAACTCGAATTTTCTAAAATATACTGACATTTAATATACTTGCAATTCTTATCCATTAAATACAATTTCTAAACTGAAAATCTTATTATCATTTCTTAATAAAAATGCTGATTGCCCAATAACAGCCAAATCAGTAAAAATATACTTGCCATCATCAGGGAGTTGAATTTGTATTTAATCTTCAACAATTATTTTTCTTTCAAAATATGAGCATCCTTATTCTAATAATTGAGTATTATTAATTTTTTCATAATCACTCAAATTTCTTGAATTACTTATACCTTATCTGTAATATAAGTCCAAATCATATGCATTAGGATAATTTAAATGATAGAAATTATCAATATTCATAGTGACAACTGAATCAGTTGAATTGAAATTGTCGATTTTTATTTATGGTGTTCTAGTCCAATTAGAATAAGTTAATCCTAATAGTGTAGATAAAATTAAATATGAAAACATTTATATAAAATAAATTAGAGAATTTACTATATGAAAATTTTTCATATACTGAGTATTAAAGTTATTAAGTAAGAAATATAAATATATCATTAATTACTTCTTGCAGTTTGTATACTATTTGGATCTCTTTTTGAGTTCCTAAATGGATATTAAGATATAACACCACTAATACCTGAAAATTTACGTAATGGTTAATCAAATAATAATGGTTTAACTAGAACTATCTTTTTTTAATCTTGATGAACAGATTTTGATGAAGTTTCATGTCTATTTTTTATAAGTTTTTTATTATTATTATAAGATATTTGAATATCATCCATTTTTTATTAGAGTATTTGATTATCTAATTTTAATTTCTTTTATTATGTTAAGTATTAATTGAGTTATTATTGTAAATTATTTTATGAGATCATATGCTATTCTAATTAATTTTTGAGATTATCATTTTCAATTTACAATCCATTTATTTTGTTTAACATTTATAAGGATGTATTATTATTATTATTTTGATGATTATGATTAAATTACTCTTAATTATTGAAGAAAATGTCTTTATTAATTTCTGAATAGTTATTTCTAATTTCAAATTGAGATAAAGATTGTAAACTTGATTAAATATTAGGTAATTGTGGACTCAATAATAATTACACTAATTATTCGATTGTTAATGTGATTGCAGTATTGTTATTCATTTTATAAAGTTTAATTTATAAATATGTCAAATTAAGATGAGTTAAAAAAGCTTATGGAAGAAAAAAGAAAATAAAAAATTAATTAAGTTGAATTACCTAAAAATGCTTAATTGGTTCAAGGAAAAATAATTGTATTCCATAATTAATTATTATTTAGTGTGTAGAATGTGAATAAATTAATGAGACTTTTGCAGATTTTAAAAGACATCTAATTGGCTAAAGACATAAAGATGCTTTATAAGTATTGAAAAGAAATGCTTAAATAGATGTAAATAAATTAGAGAATGAAGCATTTCCAGAATAAAAAATAAGAAAATAAAAGTTAACAAGACAATAAATTGAAAGAATAAATAAAGAAGTAGATTAAGAATTTGCAGAAATTGACTAAATCACATATGAAAAGAAGTAATAAAATGAATTGCCTGAAGATTTCTTTGAGTAAATATTCTTTATATAATATTAGTTAAATTGAAATAGAAACTAAAATACAATAGCAATTATAAGAAGAGTAAGTAAAGAAAATTAAAGAATAAAATGAAGTATTGGATGAAGATATAGACATATTGAATGAGAAATATGATATTCAAAAAAGAAGAGAAAAGATTTTAAAGAATAAAAGTATGAAATAAAAAAAAGTTGAACTTTAATTCAATGAGGAAGAACCAGTCGAAACAAATTTTTAACTAAATTGGAAATAAAAAAGTAATAATTGATGAATTCTATATTATCAATAAAATTAATATGTTAAATTTATAAACTGTTTTAAGAGCATTTGAGGAAAATGGATTAAAATAAGATAAATAATGCAATTAAGATGAAATACTATATAAATTAGATATGATGGGAAAGCGAGACTTCGATAGAGAAATTGCTGAATAAATATTCGAATAATGTCGTCCAACATAACAAAATTTGAAATTAGTATACAGACTAGCAGATGTTAGTTAAACTTTAGTAGATGCTAGTTTAATATTAAATGAAAAGATAAAGAAAGCAGAACAATAATTAAAACAAATCACTTAAAATAAGATAATTTGTGAGAAATAATTAGCAGAAACATGTTTGCAATCATCTTATCATTAGCTGTTTATTCTGATACGAGATTCTTATTTTTGACATTATTATCTGCAAAAAATATACCTTTAAAGTTAAAATACACAAATTGTCATATATAATTAATTTTGGGTGTCACAAACTTAATAGCAAAACCAGAATAATAATATGATAGAGTAAATCCAGAATTCAATTAAGATTTTGAATTGTAATCAAATAATTCTTAAACTTAATTTTAAGCTAAATTCCTCCATTGATAACAACACTTACGATACAGTTTTTCATTTAGACTAATGCTTCCTCTCCTATTTTATGGGGATAAGCATATTTACAAATATAACAGATAGATGATCAAATAGTAAAAGATTTAGAATTGTAATTAAAAGATCCATAAGGAAGAGAACTTGGGGCTAGTATTGAATTAGAAGCTTAAATAGTATTAAATAAAGTATTACTCTAAAAGTTAGTTAGCATCAATATTTGCAAACTTAATTACAGAAGTTTGATTAAAAGATTTATACTCTTGAAAATGATTTAAATGAATATAGAACTGATTTGGATGTAGTAGAGAGACCATTTAAAATAAAATTATTTAAGGAATAGAGTTTTAAGTAGTAAAAGAATGACATTTTTGAATAATTTGATCAAAATTAATAAATGAACGAGATGGATTAACAAAATCCAAATTAATTATAGGTTCCTGAACACAAAGAATAAATACTGTCTGTATTATAATCAGAAAAACACTTAGAATAATTTGATGAAACACCAGATGCTCCTGAGATCTTGCAACATGGTGTCATTATATTCACTATATATGGTTTGATTACATTATTTGTATGTTCTGCTAAACCTTCATTTTTAGATGTAAAATTTTAATAATCCTTATTGAAGGTCTTAGTTTGTCATGGTCTTATGTTCACAATTTTTATGGATAGATTTGAACCATTCCATTTAAAACTTGTTGGTGGAGGTCTTGTTGCTTCCATTTTTTATGATATTTTATGGATGAAATAATATCATGTATAATAGATTTGATTTCTAGTTATGGTGGTAAAGTGATGATCAAAATAATCCAGAATGGGGATTGAAAGCACAAACATTATTAAGATTCGTTTTAATTTTTACTTATATTTAATTCTTGTACAAAGTATGATACTTAATATTATTTCTAGTTTGTTGTATGTTATTATATATATTAATTTCATAGAGAATCTATTGATCCTACAAAAAGATACATTTTTACAATTTGGAGAATTTAATATAAAGTAGGTAAAAATAGGGATAGTTCATCCTGGTAATCATAATGATGTAATTTTTATATTTAACGATATTCGTTTACTTATTGATTATTATAAGAATATATAAAAGGATATTAAATTAATTACTCAATCTTAATCATCTGTTTGTTTCTGTTATAATTAATTATTTGGATTGTATTAAGATTTGTCACCAAAAGTCCTTTTAAATTTATGATCAATAGCCCAAGCTTCATTTAAATATTACGGTTTCATTTCATCTTTATATTATATATTAAATTAATACTTAAAAAATTATCTCTCCAAAATACTAAAAATTCATCTATTTCTTCTTCTGTTTTTAATTGTTCAACAATTAATTTTCCTTGATCAGGATTATCCTCATTTTTATTAAATAATTCTTCATTTAGTTTAAGATATACAACAAATCCTGAAAATGATTCATCATTAATATTGATTAAGTTATCTTCATATTTTAAATTATTCAAATCAAATTAATTTATTTAATTGAATAATTATTGATTTTTTAATTATTCTATTTGATTATTAAATTGTATTTAAAATTTTTAATAAGCTTCTTTAGGTAAATTTTACTTTTTCTTATTGTAAGCCATTACTGATTTAATAAGATTTTTTACCATTAATAATAATGAATCCTTTTTATTTTATTTAACATTTATATTATATTTTTCTGCAATAATTATTTTTAATTTATCATTTAAAGCACTAGCCTTATGATGACATGCTAAACACAAACAAACAACATCATATGATCTTTTTCCTTGAATATGTTTTTTATATACAACTGGTACAATCTAGAAAATTAATAAAATAAAAAATTTACATGAAATTTCAAAAGTTCATTCTCTTTTCCACATATTACACATTAATTAACTCTCTCTATTGTTACATACTAGGCTTTATCAGATCCTTCTTCTTTGAATCCACTTGGATCAAATTTTAACTAAATTGTAGGAGGATCTTCACATATCAAATCAGCTAATCCTTATTTCAAATACCATCTTATTTTCTTTTCATCACAATTACACAAAAAGAAATTTTCCTTTGTATATATTTTACAATTTCCATATGCAGGTTTCTTTCTTGTAAACTTTTCTACAAATTCTGATTATTTTTATTTCTTTTAATCAATTTTTTATTAATTTTATTTATTTTTTGATTCTGGTATTTATAATACTTACAATGATTCAAATATTGTAGTTAATCCATATTTAATGAAATTTATATCATATAAAAAACTTTAATAAAGTCCTTTGCAAAATGATTTGAAATAAACTTCCCAATCTTTATCAATCTATTTTGAGATGTATTCCAATGTAAATTAATATTATTAATTTTAGTAATTCTAATAGTCAGGATATGTCAATTTGTAATCTTAAATATTGGGAATATTTAATCTTTAATAAATATGAATAGCAATTAAAATGACTTATTCATTTTCTTCTAAAGATTCAACTGGATCATTATGATGAACTGCATACTCCTATCTTACTTTCATTATTTCTAATGCTATAAATTAAACCAACTAAACAGCAGCAGGTTAAGTCTATAATAATTAATAGATAGGAGATGTATCATTAGTTTCAGTCACTATTTGCATTAAAAGATTGTACTCTTTTTAAATCACTTTAGCTAATTCTGAATTTGATAAAATAGGTTTTTTATAATCTTTATTAACAGTTTTGTTGAATTTTAAAAAAATTTTAATTTGTTATTTGATGTCAATTTTAGTTAGTTCTTACAATAAAACATATCTAAGATATGGCAAATAATAGCAATCATATGCAGCATAAATTAATTATTCTTAAGTTAAAGGTCTTTCTGCCCAATTAGATGTCTACATATTATTTTTATAAGATTTAGAAACTTGATGATCACAATATTGTTTCCATAAATAAATCAAAGAATTTCCTCCTTCTATTATAAATAAAATAATTTATTTTACTTAATTTACACATATCTGCTATTTCTTTAAGATCAAAATAATTTTAGATATAAATTTAAAAGTCTCTTTTTAACCATAAAACATCAGTACTTCCTGCATAAAATACTTTTATTATTTTATCATCTTCAAAAATTAACTTTAGAACATTTATCAATTTTTAATTTTCTAATCCAATTTCAATCACATCAAAAATATATACATCTTCATCATCCTTAATTTATACAATACTGATTTATCCGTCAAATCCAATTTCATTTGTATGTTCAATATCAACTCCAATGACAGATCCTTTCAATTAAAATTAATTTAATTCATTTTCATTAGAAATATATTTAAATAGTTTTGTAAGATGCTACTTTTATAGATTATGAAAATTGGAAATAACTTCTTCATAAGTATTTCCTTATGCTGAATATATTTTTTAAATTACATGGATATTTTCTAATTATTCTTACATAAATAATAAAATTATTTATTTAATATCATGATTAAAATTATTATTATTATTAATTTTCTTATTACTAATCCAATTTTTCTTATTCTGCCTATCTAACAGCTTCTTCTTCAGCTAATCTTTAATCTTCAATTTCTTTAAGACGTCTTTCCTCTTCCATTCTTTTTTTTTCAATCTTTTCTCTCTTTTTTCTAGCAATTTCTTCATATTTGTCATCTATATGTTATTGTCTTCTTTTTAATGAATTTGAATGCTCAATAGTAATATTTTCTTCTATATTATTTAGCATATCTTAATAATCTTAATGAATTACTATTAAAATTAGTAGAATTATCATTTTCATCAACTAATTAACTTAACACATTATCATAAACCCATGGAATATACTCATATAATAAAGCTGTTTCTAATGGATCTCGAAAAACACCTAAGTCTTATAATTTTTTAATTATATTTTATTTAAGAGGATTTATAAGTGATTTTGATAGATTTCTGCATACAATTTTTTAATGACTCTGCTTTTATATTTTTAAAAAGGTTTCATATTGCAATTTTCTTCTTGCATCTTCTTAATCTAATCTTTATTAAACAGCCTCTAATCGTTGCATTTCAGATAAAACAGAAGTCTTTTATCTTTCATGTTATTTCTATTACTCCTTCATTAATTTAATTTCTTCTTCTTCTAAAACTTCCATTCTTGATTATTCCAATATCTTATTCATTAAGACTTATAAAATTGGTTCTACTTCCTAATCAAAATCAAAAAGATCTCCTTCCCAAATTTAAGTTTCCTTACTATTTTAGGTATTTATACTTTATCAATACCATTCTTCTTTGGAACAAATAATCTATCAGGTGGTTTATCTATATAATAGTCTGTTTATGCATCCATTTCTTATTCAGGTGGTTTATCTGTCAATATTTCTAAATATTCATCAGTTTAGATATCTATATTAACACGATTTTAAAATGGTCTAGGAGTACTAGGATGTAAATATGTTGTTTATGGTTATTAAGTCTATTATCATTATTTTAATATGTAACCGCTTTTTATTATGGTTTTTTGAATGATTTAAGTGTCATTAATTTCTTATCTCCTTATGTTTATACACTTGCATAAGTATTTCCTCTAACAACCCTTTTATCATACATAATATTGCATCCTAATAATGAACTTAATATAATTATTATTTACCAACCTATTTTTTTAATCTTCTGAAGATTACAAAGGCTATTATCTGTATTTAGGTTTTGGTTTGATAACTTCTGGAGCAGCTTTAAATTCATAATTCTCTCCAGCTAATGCTTAAGCTTATGCCATTAAAATTAAATTTTATTAATAAACATGTATTATTATATAAAACAATTATAACAAAATCATTCAATTTTTGAATTCTTTGCTGCAATTTTAATGGCTTCAATCATTTAGTTCCAAAATTCATCAACAACTACTTTTCTTGCAAACTATACAGTTGGCTCAAGTCCATAAATTCCTTTTTTATCAATAACAGTTCTTCCATAACATAATTTTGATTCGCAATCAACTGCACAAAAAAAAGGTTTTATAACATACAATTCTGGATGTAATACATAAAATACAGCAACAGCTAATTTTAAGATTAATATATATTACGATCATGAATTGGAGGATAATCAAATTCTTATGCCTTATATGCAGCCTAATATTCCTTAAGCATTTCCAAACACCAATCTGAAAAGTTAGTGTTTATATTTTTTATTCTTTATTAAATTGGTTCTAATAGTTAACATGTCTAATATTTTTATAAATTATTGTATGGTACGTATGTTAAATCTAATGAAATCATTACTAATTTCAATGAATGCTATTTGCATGTATCGATTACAAATTGAGCAGCCTCAGGATCCGAATAAATATTGTATTCCGAATTAGGTGTTACATTTCCAAAACCTGATGTTCCACCCATGAACACAATTTCTTAAATCTAAGGAATAATTTCTTCGTGATCTCTCAATAACTTAGCAATGTTAGTTTAAGGTCCTGTTATTACTATAACAAACTAGCTTATTATCTTCTCATACTTATTTATCTCCTAATATCTATTTCATCAGATCATATAAATCTATGTCCTCTATGGGCTTGAAAGAAGAAATCAATTTATCAACCGCATACAAGCCTAATATAGATTTTTTAATCAACCAACCTTATGTTCCATGCATTTTAGTGGTAGCTCTTGTAGATTTTAAAGAAAATTCAGATCCTTTATATACAGGTACATCAGTTCTTCCTACTGAACTAAGTAATCGAATAGTGTTATTTGTACAGTTTTCAAGGCTATATATTAGCCAAACTTTTACCTTGTGTTTCCAAAGCATGTGGAAATTCCTAGTAGATTAGATTTTGGATGAAACAATGATAAAATGACTGCCATTGCATCATCATTACCAACATCACAGTCTAACCATATATTAATCTTTTCAGCTTCCATAGTTGTTTATACAAAAATTTTAATATTTAAATAATATCTCTTTTTCCATATTAAGAATCTGGTTGATATTCATAAAAATCAATTTTATATCTTACTTTCATTTACGTATGGTTCAGAGGTAAATTAAATATATATTAAAATTAAATATTTTATAATTCAACCTTTAATTACCAGTTTTATTTCATTCTCAGTTTTTACTTCATTACAAATAAATGAGTTTATGAATTCTAAAATCATTTAATTATTATTCTCTAATTTTTTAATAGACTTACTATTTATCAGTTAAAAATTCTCAAATAATGTGCAAAATTTGTACTTTTGTAAAATTAGATACATAAATGTTCTTGGTTCGCTCTTTAAATATAATAATATAATTGGTTTTAAATATAAAAAGGAAATGAAGTATAAATAAGCTATATACATTAATAAGCTTTTTAGCTTTCAACTAGATTGTATATTTTATTATAGATATTAAAAATTATTAAATTAATTTAGATTATTTATTTAATATTATTTTATAGTAATTTAAATATATATATATATAT